GGTCGCAACCGGGTACCCGATACCCGTACACTACCCGGTACCCGGCTACCCGTACCCCGGTTACCCGTTTGCGACCCTGGTGCGGCCGGGTACGGGTAGACCGTGAGTCACTGGTGAGTCACCGTTTGTCACTCATTTCCCAACGTCTTGTGTCTCTTCTCACAATTCAAGTTCCTAGAAGTCAACCCACCCACGCCTGCAACATGGCTTCATCCCAGAGGTCGCAATCAGGTACCCGATACCCGTACCCGTTTGCGACCCTGGTGCGGCCGGGTACGGGTAAGGAATCAAAACCCGTTTGCGACCTCTGCCCTGAGGCTTGGGCTGTGTCGTATGCTGATGCTGTCTCTCTCTCCCCTTTCTTTCTCTCTCTGTCTGTCTCTCAACTTTGCCTACCTTTGCCACATCCAAATTCTTCCCGAATGTAGGTTGTGTATTTTTTTTTTTGTAAAATGTCTTGAGATGCGTTTATATTTAGATGCTATCTAACACGATATTGTTTTTGTTGAATACAATATAATGTACATCCTGTAACGTGCACGTGTTTTTGTTATGAATCGTCTGGTGATGATTTTAAGCAATAAAGTTTACGGCTTACAGAGTCAAAGAATACATGTCAAATTGTCGTTGCGAAAGATGAATGAGGTCATTTGCCAGCACAGAAGAATCCTTCCCCCACTGGACATATGTAAATAAATAGTTTTATAGCTCATCGGATTCCCCCAGTGTAAATAAAGATTGTTAATTCCGAGCTGACAGAGAATGAGTGACGATGTTGCCAGTAATCTGACGAGAGTCACAACGCCCCGTGTTGACTCTCCCATTGTTCAGTGGCACAGGGTGACCCATCGTGGAAGATAATCGGTACATGTTTTATTGGGGTGTGCGAACATAAAAACGACACGGGGTGCTAAATCATGTTTATTTTTAAGGCAAGGTTCTGCACGCGATTGCCTGTGCGGTGCAAGATATGAATGATGGCTTTTTGGTATAAGTGGGTGTGGAATGGTCTTTTTTTTCTCTCCAAAATAATGAAATACGGTCGAGTAATGGTCAGCGAAGATGCATTCTCCGCGGGATAGGTTTGAGTGTGGCCAGGTTTTGGTCTCCAGTAAAACACCAATTTTTACATAATGAAAAAAATTCTGCTGCTGTCCCACTTTGTTTTCCCCTTAAACTCGTGTTAGAATCATATTACTGCATCATCCGTATTTTAAGTTCTTGGAAAGACACGTAGCAAAACTTGCGCCCGGTGTCTATAACTTTATACAAATATGATTACACATCTACCAGATTATAAGAGGCACTCCCCAATGCTTGATTTCAAATACAGGGGGATGGGCGGTGCGGTGCGTCTGGAGAATGTCGGAAATTATAATTATTTCAGTATAATTTATTAGGTATAGTCCTGTGAGCCATGCGGCTATTGACTCGGGTGCAACCGCAACAAACAAAAAACACGAACAAAGAACATCTGTAAGTGACTAGGCGCAACAGAATGCAAGTGGGATGCAAGTCAAACAATAACAACCATAAGACAATTTAGATTAAAGTTATCAGGCTAACTCTGTACTACAACAAACAAATATGGCTAAACCATACGTTTTCGAAATCACCAAAATAAAGCTATAAAAACAATGTAACAGTGATTATAGGAACTGTTATTCAAATTTAACAATAAAGGATATAGGTATTCTGTATTTAAAGTTAAAGTTGAGGGGGGGCATCTTGTAATCCGGTAGGCACGACCAGAATTGTACAACTTCATCGAAACCCGACAGAGGTTTGGAGCGAGTGCTTTTTTTACTTTCCATAGCGTCTTATAATTCAGAAAATACGGTAAACCGCTTAGCAAAACATTTGAATTATAATGATAATGTTCTGTTCACTCTGTGGGCGATAGATAAAAAATTTTACGTTAAAGCAACCTGCACATTTTGAGCGCCCCCTTGCGGTCACGTATCCTGCTTAGAGAAACGAGACATTTAGCTAAAGTTGATCATCGATATTGATTTGAAGCTTTCGTGACTGCAGGAATCCATACTCTTTGGTTCTTTCGGTAAAGTCACGTGGGTATAAAAATAATAGATCACGACGTTGCGATCGCAACACGAGCAATTACTTCAGCAGTTTTTTTCTTGCTGTGGTTGTCCCACCTGATGACGATTGCTTGTGTTGCGATCGAAACGTCGTGATCGATTATTTTTCTACCTATGTGACTTTACCGAAAGAACAAAAGAGTATTGACCATTATTTTATTTATATTATTATTTCTATTATTTTTATTATTTATTTTTACCTACGTGACTTTACCGAAAAAACCTAAGAGTATTGATCATCGATTATATCCGGCTGCTTCCAACAATGAATCTGGCTGTCCCAAGTCGATTCGGCAAAACGGCTCCAAAGGCTGTGGGGCCGTCCATAAATGACGTCACGCACCTATGGGGGGGGGTTCAGACATTTGTGACGATGTGACAAGGGGGGGGGGTTGAGAAATGTGACGTCACATCAAAATGCGCAACTTTAAATAAATATAGACAACACGTTCTACTTAATTAAATAGACTTTTTAATAAATGTCCAACATCGCGTGACGTCATTTATGGACGGCCCCTGTGACCCAGTTCGCTAATCGGCACCACCAGGTAGCGTGTGTAAAAAAGTATCTACGTTTGATTTCAGTGTTAAATATTATATATAGAGTACAGTATACACTACATACATACAACTTAATCAATGGAAATACTGCACGTATACACATCACCCCATGCAGTCTTCGAGATTGGGTTGGTAAGTACGGTACGGTAAATTGCAGCAACTTTTAAAATTAGGATTTTTCTTTAACCTATATGCATGTTTATTTATGCCAATTTCATATATGGTTAAATTTAGACTTAAAACTTTCGTGACTGCAGGAATTCATATTCTTGGTTCTTTCGGTAAAGTCACGTGGATAGAAAATCAAAATTAAAAGCAAAAAACCCACGACGTTTCACACAAGCGGTCTTGTTCAGGTGGAAATAAAATAAAATAATGACCGCTTGTGTGGCGATCGAAACGTAGTGGGCTTTTTGCTTTTAACCTTAGTTTTCTATCTACGTGGCTTTACCGAAAGAACCAAGAATATTCACATAGTTAACAAATTGAAAACACTAAAAATAAAAACGACGCCTAAAAACATGTCATGCGAGAATGTGCAAAAATAAGCTATTTTAAAGACTAATGATGTAACAATTATCTGGCGTTTTTTGAAAAATCCTGCACCCCCCGCACCCCCCTCAATAATCGATGATCCACTCTCAATGCAATTCTTACCATCCTGAGCCATTTGCTGAAGCCTTTCTCTAAACTACCATCAATCGCACACTCTAAAAAGACAAAGCGCGGCCATAAGCATTGCCAAACCTCCACTTGTGCGCATCTTTTTTTTCTTTTGTTGGATTCATCATAAAACGTGTGGTGACATTTCAAGTCAAGTTGAACCAGACCAGCCACTTGTAACCTGCTGTTTATGGGCAAACATCTGATGCATTCGCCGCTCCCGTTGAAGCTGTCTGAGCAGCACTCCATCAGAACACAGCCCTCGGCAACATTAGAAGTCTCCTTAGATAACTTTGCGCGTGTGTGTGTGTTTAAATAAAGCAACTGGCATTCGCCACTAATCGGTGATGTCACTGCAGCAATTGTGCCAGGCTTGGCATTCAGAGACGCACTTTGAGGCGCTAAAGGCTTAATATAGATAGCACGACACCACTGATATGGATTTATCTAAGAGGACTGCTAGGCACAGCACACACTGTCAAATTGCTTTCATTCACCCGATGCGCTGCTGCTCATTCTTATAAATATGAACTTTATTCTTGGTTCTTTCGGTAAAGTCACGTAGAAGGGAAACAATAAAATAATAAAAATATAAAACAATAAAATTCTCACGACCGTTTCGATTGCAACACTAGGCAATCGTCATCAGGTGTGAAACCACAGCAAGAAAAAATAAAGTGTGGTTTTCACACCTGATGATTGCTTGTGTTGCAATCGAAACGTCGTGATAATTTTATTGTTTAATATTTTTATTATTTCCCTTCTACGTGACTTTATCGAAAGAACCAAGAATATGAAACCCTGCAGTCACGAAAGCTTTAAATAAAAATAAATATGAACTCTGCTTACCGTTGTTGCTGCAGGGCGCCTGCTTCCAAATGCCCAGTCGCATCTTCAACAAGCCTCCTCCACAGAGGCCGTTCTTGACATCATTCGTATCAGACGTCGGCAAGTTCAATCACACCTTCTTGGTCCTTTCGGTAAAGTCACGTAGAAGGGAAGTAATAAAATAATAAAACATACATAATAAAATTCTCACGACGTATCGGCCACAACGCAAGCAGCCGTCCTCAGGTGAAAACCAGGTCTGTCGGGGAGACAGCGTCTGAATGAACCAGCACCACGCTTGGAGCATATATATAAGCTGGGTTGGAAGGGGGGAAAGGGCGCTTCGACAAAATAATTTGCATATCAAGAGGAATTTAGAAAGAACCAAGAAGATGAATCCCTGCAGTCACGAAAGCTTTAAATCGAAATTCAATCACACCTTCAAAACACTTTGCACCACATCAGCCCATCTCTTTTATATCCTATTTAGCCCCCTCTCTCCAGCAAAACAGAAGCTTATTTGGCGAGGGGCATGTTGGCTCTATAATCCAAACACATCGTGGCCAAAGCGCCTCCCATTGACGGGACTGTCTCGATATTTCAAGGATCTCTGCATTCCTTACAATCCAGTTCAGAGGATGGATCAAATCGAAGCTAGTCTCAATGTTTCAAAGTTGGCATGTGTTCATGGAAAGGGACGACGCTTCACAAGCACAGAAATGGCACGATTGTTCCCAAGACCTGTGGAAGCTTCATGTGGAGTGACATGCCAGGCAGCTTCTGCACCGCACTGTGCAGCTCGTGAAAAAATGCCAGTCAACCCATTCCGTGAAAGCTCCGCTGCCAAACCATGAACACAATGCGCAGGTTTGGGAACGCATCCATCCTCTCGGCAGTCACTCATCAATCGTGTAGAACTGGGGGTTGCAGCGTTTCGTACGGTGAGACTGATGGGAAAGCGCCATCTCTTTGTGCCAAGCTCCCGGTTTTCCAGCAGCCTCCAACTCTCGTAGTGAACAGCAATTACTTGGTCATCAGGATACATGTGACTAAGCAGTGGGGAGCAATCTATAAACACCCATAGATCAGTCAAAATAACCCCCATTCTTATCGTGGTGCCAGATGGTACCACTATGGTATGTTGTGAGCAACATTTGGGAACACATTCCTGTGGAGGGAGCTGGTAGGAACGTTGGGTTGCTCGGTCAATGGCGGCGTGGTGTATTCCGCAAATATGCCCGACTGAGGGCGGGCACAAGCCGGCTTGAGTAGGTTAAACGTCGAGTTTTATAAAGGCACTACGGGGTGACCAGCCCCTTCCCACTCAGCCCTCTCCACCCTTCCCACCCAGCCCCTCACTGCACGACGGACACAATAATCCCTTGAGGGCTGGTGTAACAATGAGGTTCCTACCAGTAAAAGGCTAACGTTGAGTTGGCCAACTACCTCTATGTCGTACTCGCATCCACCAGTGGCAAACAGAGGGTCTGGTGCGGTGTGAATTTAAGGTTAAGAGTAAGCGTTGTTTAATTTCATTACAACCACGCACAGCAAAATGAATAGATTCAAGCGCATGACATTCACTCATCTCTTATTCCGAGGTCAATTCAAGACACATGTTAACAGTTACTGCAACTTTAATAGTTTTGTTTATTGCTGGCCAATTGACGTTTTGAGACTTCTAAGCAATTGTCTAATAAAAAACTCAATCAAGCAGTCTCTTCTTTCAACCACCCATGAACTGTTGCTCAAAGTCAAGTGCATTGCTTGTTTTACAAGGTAAAAATTACAGTAGCTATTCCCAGCTGCTTTTGACGTGGAATTGGACATACCTACTCAGACCATTTAGGGCAGGCAAGAAAGCATCAACAGAATCCACATAACTTTATTGAAATCATGCCAAACATCAATCTACTTCTGTCAGCAAACAGCAACACAGGCATAAACACACTTCCAACAAGTAACAATAAAAAAACTGAAGAGCAGGGTGGCGAAGGACAGTGCTTCATGAAGGGAGGGCATCCTTGGGAAAATGAAGTTTAATGTCCATACCTAGGCACAGGGAGGTACAACAGGGTGGCAGTCAGGAAAGGCACCAGAATTGTGTACATATGCATGCATGTACGCCTTATGAGTTTAATGATTCACCCCCCCCCCCCACCTCGTGACTGAACAATGTTTCATTAGTCACGATTCAATTCAGGGTCATGATTCAAGAATCCACACTGTTGTGAATATAGGAGCCTCCGGTGGTTGGAGGGATGAAGTGAAGCCATTACATACAAAATATGCACATGTACAGCCCGTTTTGTCAAGCCACTGCTGGATGACGGCATCCCTACGTCAAATCAGTCATATTGGGTTGTTTCTTCATACTTGACCACTTTGCTCAGTGCACACCGATGAAGTTGGGGGGAGATACAGAACAATGTATTTTGCCACACTGTCCTCTCCTGCTCACAATCCCTACTACACCTGTTTTGTGCAAAGTGCTCACTCATCTAAGTATTATCCAGGCTCAACCCGATTTAGCGTTCAACATCTGACAGGATTGGGCATATTCCTCGTGATTTGATCATCAGCACATACTGATTATACAAACCGAAAGACATCAATGTTTACACATGGCAATGATGCATCTATAATTATCTGAAGAATCAATATTATATCTATGATGCATAATTACAACCTGTAGCATGCATATCGTATAACATGCATCCTTGCCATCCAGCGATTGGTATTTGCAACCATCTTTGTTAATCTGCTTTACTTTGTATGGTGTGCTGTTCTTAATTTTTGTATATTGTGTCGCAAATCTAATTGGTGTACGCCGTTACTCACTTCTGGAATTCCCACTCACGATTGTCGAGGGGACAGACCTGCCGGGTTTTAAGCCAGCGTGAGATGCAGTGGAAGTGGAATGCATGCTGAAAAAACAAACACAGACAACAACGACCATCACCCAGCAATCTCCACATTGTATATTTTAATTTGCCAAGGTTGATACAGCTAACCAACATTAAGCAAACCTATTCACTTTTCAAGTGATCGCCAAATTATTTGCAAATTGATAACAAACAAAAAAACTAAATTAGACAAATAAATTGTCAGTAGTTATCAAGATAAGCTTTCATAAGCCAGTTAGATGCCGAGAAAAGAAGCTTACATTGCAGACGCCCCAAGCCACTGTACATTCCTCCGAGGTGGCTGATGCTTGGTTCGCCTGACACTCGATGCCTGTGGTGCAACAAAAAAGGGAATATTCAGAGAGGACAACATCAGTCCATTACTGCTCAATTTTATTTCATAAATCAAGGTTTTATTCGTTCACGGAAATAAAGTTTCTCAAAAATGTATACTTTCCAAGAAATAGTGACATCACTTACTATCAACCCAGTGAACCAAGAAAGTGGCCTGAAACCCAGTTTCCTGGAATAGGACTTCAAAGCCATTGATCCCAAAATACAACTTTGCATTCCCAAGACTTTTCTGTGGACTCTTCTTTAATTCAAGACATCTGGAATGAGGGCATTCAGGACGCCCCCCCCACCCCGCAATGTAAAATGCAATTTCCAACTCTGTTTCTGAAAAGTCATTGCTCAAACCTTAAGTCTTTTCCAGAATGCATCTTATAAGGCAGCACTGTTGTTGAATGAGGTTGCCTTTTTTTATTATTAATATTGTGGTACAGTGGCTAACAGACACTCATCTACGATTTTAGAAACCTGAATTTAATTCCTGACCATGACAAACATCTTTCTGGCAAGTAACATCTGAACAAGTCGGGGGCTCCCCTTTCACCAACACATACTGATATCAGTATGGTGAAGTATGGAGCAAGAAGCCTCATTACCAAAAAGGAAAATGGGATACATTTATCCAGCCGTAGATTGACAAATGGCTGTACAGTATTGATATTATGAAACGGAAGAGCAAGTAAAGTTGGCATAATATAGGTAGCAGGCCCCAGATAACCTAATAGCAGTGCTTACAGAGGTCCATGATGTGGTTGCGGCAGATGGCACAGTTATCCACAACAATATCCCACGCCCACAGGGCCACGGCATTCCACTGCAAACACACGGGGGGAGAACATAACAAGTACATGAGAACATGGTGTGGGCTCTCTGCCTCATGAACACTCTTGACGCCATAATGCCATGATAAACACTTCCACTTCGACAGTGAGCATCAAGGTTGGAACGACGCAGATTACTATTAATGATTAAAAGTGTAAGAATATATATTTTAATTCGTATGTTACATATAAGGATGTATGTCACCCTTGCAGCGACTAGATGCACTATGCCCCGTCATTTACTGCTAAGATAAAACACGGATTTGATCATCCATTGACTAACTGGGGGAAAGGTTGAATCCTTGCACCGTCCATTAAGATGGAATACGCGACGGGCTCAAGTGGGAAAATAGCTGCTGTGACATCAAAACGGACGTAGAAGCGGTTAAGGGAATGAATTTAGGACACGAGTGAGAGGAGCTCCTGTAGAAGGGTAGTGATGAGAGGAGAAAGGTAAGCTGATGGAAACCAGGGAGTGAGCCAGATAAGAGCAGCTGATGATAGAACTTGTCAAGAATGATACGAGTGAAAACAGCTGCGTTGGACAGGGAATTTGTAAGGTGAGGAAAGTAAGGGGAGTACCTCTGTAGAGGTCCTTAAGTCCTTCAGGAAGTTAAAAAGTCATGAACGTGTAACATTTCGCGGCGAAACCCCCTCAGAAAGGGGACCTGCTGAAAGCACTATGGCTCACAGCTCTACCATCGTAGGGATGAATGATCAGAGCGGAAAAGGTGGGGTGGAGTGGTGGCGCAGGGGGGAATTAATCATCACCAGCCGTGGTCAATCCTCTGCTGGATGAGAAGGCCTCCCCCCAAGCCGTAGCCACTGTTTCAGGCTCCTGCGAGGTAACAATCCGCCATGCCGCCTAAACGCTAACTTCATATTTAATCGCTCCATCTTCTCGGTGGAAGTTACGTTGTCCTTTCGTACGCGTTCCATCCCAGCCGCCATCATCACCACCACCATCAACAACAACGCCATCATCATCACCACCACCATCAACGCCATCATCACCACCATCACCATCAACAACGCCATCAACAACGCCATCATCACCACCACTATCAACAACGCCATCAACAAAGCCATCATCACCACCACCAACAACGCCGCCACCACCAACAACGCCATCAGCACCACCACCATCACCACCACCGCCATCATCACCAACAACGCCATCATCAACACCACCACCAACAACCCCATCACCATCAACGCCGCCACCACCACCACCGCCATCATCACCACCAACAACAACAACGCAATCACCACCACCATCAACAACAACGCAATCACCACCGCCAACAACAACGCCGCCACCACCGCCGCAACGTCCGAGCGTGACGTCACCGGAGCGCCATAACGATGTGAACGCCGGCAATGTCAGATATATAATCTCGACGTAGACTGGACGAATCCGATGAGCTATGAACCTCTTTTTTCACACATGTCCACAGCAAGGGCCGGGTCGGAAAGTTACAACAACAAAACAAAACACAACACAACAAAATGAGTGCAAAGTGTATGGAGATCCCAAGCAAGCCACTGGAAGCCTCGTTCGTCTTCATCTCTCCTCAAACGAATTCCCGGCGGTGACACCGACGACCTCAGCTGCGGGACCTCAGCTGCGGGACCTCACCTTCTTGACCTCGAAGCGCTTCTTGCCGCCGCCGCCAGCGGTGGTCGAAGCGCATGGCGTGTCCACCTCCATTGCGGCCGCCATGACTCGCTCGCGCTGGCCGGATATGACGTCTGCGAGCAACTTCCGTTTCCTCCTCCTCCTCCCTCCCCCCCCGTAACCCGGATGTTCAGCACCGATGGCGGTGACGTCACCAGCGAAGTTTGTGACCTCTCAAATCTCCGCCCTCACCATAAGCCCCTCCCACTTTGCCCCCTCTGCCCCCCCCACCCTCTCGCGCTCCGCCTCCTCTGTCCTCCCACCCCCACCTGCCCCGCCCCCCTGTCCCCTGGTCCCTCCCCCACCGCCCCTGGCCCCTCCCCCACCGCCCCTGGCCCCTCCCCCACAGCCCCTGGCCCCTCCCCCACAGGCCCTGGCCCCTTCCCCACCGCCCCTGGCCCCTCCCCCACCGCCCTTGCCCCCTCCCCCACCGCCCCTGGCCCCTCCCCCACCGCCCCTGCCCCCTCCCCCACCGCCCCTGGCCCCTCCCTCCCTCCTCGCCCCTCCCCCCGCCCACTTTACCAACATGGCGGCAGAGGTCTCGAACCTCCGGTGCCAGATCAGAGGGAGTTTTTTACCTCTGGATTTAAAAATTTTTTAACGCAGAATTTTTTTTATCATTCGTTGGACCAAAGTACAGAACGAAACTACTTTTGAAAGAAAGTGCGCGAAGAAACGTGGAGAGGAGATTGTGACGTGCACGCTTGAAGCTAAACGTTGAGATGAGCACGTGGACTTGGAGAACACGCGAGGGTTAATGACATTCAAACTGTAAAGGAATGCAAGTGTTCCTTTCACAACAAATGCTACATTTTTTGTTTGAAGAAAAGTCATTGGGCTTGGCCAGAAGTGGATGATGTCCGATGGTTCAGATCAATGACGGAATCAGGCCAAGGATTTATGTACAGTTTGTAGAACTTCTTTCGCGCCGTACGTAGCCGACCTTGCTCATCAGGTGTGGGGTGGCAAAGGTCAACACACACAACAACAAACATTTCTAAACAAATGGGTTGTCAAGCTAGGTTATTTTAAAGTGCATATAGAGCATACCTGTTCACGCCCTTATAAGTGCCCTACCTTACTACAGACCAATTCAGAATGTATTGGTCACCCCGTGCCCTTTATAAACATCAACGTTCATCCGACAAAATCCCATCACAAGGAGAGAAACACAAAGAGACAATCACCACGACGACGACATTCACCATCAGTACACTCACCACTACATACATGCCAACCCCCTTATCAGTGCCCTACCGTTTTACAGACCAATTCAGAACTTATAAACATCAACGTTCATCCTACAAAGCCCATCACAAGGAGAGAAACAGACAAAAATAGTTTTAAAAAGAAATGACCTAATAGTTTTGTGTGTGTACTCATACCTGTCAACCCCTTATCAGTGCCTACCTTATTACAGACCAATTCAGACCTGATTGGTTACCCTGTGCCCCTTATAAACATCAACGTTCATCCTACAAAGTTCTATCACAAGGAGAGAAACACAAACACAAATAGACAAATATTCCCCCCCCCCCATATTTAAACGGCTGTACGCCGTATGGACCTGAAAACTGAATTCCCCTGTACAAGAATACGGGGTAAATCATATGGGATTGACACGGTATGCGATAGCTCCCAGTGGCTTTCTAATATCGGGAAGGAGAAGAGCGTTCCAGACGGCCGCAGAAGCGCATCTGAAAGCGCCGCGCGATGCCGGTGGCCGCCGTCGTCTTTGTTCGATGACGAGCAGCCAAAAGCCGCCGCGTGATGGATGTTGGTGGATTTATGCTCCTTGACGAGGTCAGCCGAGGTCATCCGAGGTGTTGTGGTTTCATTTGTGGCAAGCACATTGTTGTGCAATGAGTGTCGGCCGTATTGCGACGTGAATGTCCGATTGCGCGGGTAGTAATGTCATTAAAAACCGAAAACGTACGATGCACAGGCCTTAAGTAACAACGGTGTTTTTATTGCGGGGAAAAGTCACTTTTCACCTCTGTTGTAGAAAACTAGCAACACGATAGAGCCTAAATACGAATCAAAACGTTTGTGAGATGAACTGATTATTCATGGAATTACATATATCGGAAAAAAAGATACTTGTACTGTATATGTGGAATGACACAATGCAGGTTACAACTGCTGTATATCCAGAAATTAGCAGAGCATGATTGCTAACCATCCCACTGATTATCGACACAGCCACCTCGGTGCCATCACAAAGCCTCTTTTGTCAGGCCTGGTGCATTCGGAGGCTATGTGGAGTGCACAGAGGGAGGGCATTTTCAGCGTGCCTTCATTTAATATTATGGCATCAACATACCTGTCAACCCATACGGTTTACCCGTATTATTGAAAAGGGAAATTGAGTTTTCAGGCCCAGATCTTGTACAGCCGTTTCAATACGAGCAAAAAAATGTATTTTGTTTATTTGTTTGTGTTTCTCCCCTGTGATAGAACTTTGTAGGATGAACGTTCAGATTTATAAGGACACCGGGTGACCAATAAGGTCTGAATTGGTCTGTAATAAGGTAGGCACTGATCAGGGGTTGTTGACAGGTATGCATCAATGAATTATTTTCCAGTGCCAGTGCAGGCTCCATGACACGGAGTTTCACCTGAGACGTTTTCCTAGCTCATCAAAGTCGCAAAAATAATCTAAGAAAGTAAATAAACTTAAAATAGTCAAAAATATCACGAGAAGATGTGACAAAAGTTAAATAAAACGGATAAAAAAAATCCTTGTGTATATATTGAATATCTAAAAATAATCTACATTTTCCCTTTCGAGAAAGTTGATAGTTTTAGCAACATTGTCATTAGGAAAACCAAAAATTCACAAGATAGTGCAACGAAATCGCAAAGCTGGCACTGGGTGAGACACGGTAATGCTACTTTTCTGGGAGGGCTCAACGAGGTCACACGGTGAGCTATCGAAGGCCCTCCTTCCGTCAGCCTGGCCCACTTTCATAAAAGCCACACCCAGTCAATAACTATACCCGTCCTTTGCTCCGATCATGACGTCGAGGCCAAACAAATTTCAAACCGGGACAAAAAACGCAATTTTCGGCAGCGTTTCCGAACACCAGATCCGCCTTATAGAAACTTGGGATGATTTAGTATCTTTAACACGTGGGAGCTACTTTACAATCTCACAGCAGGACAGGCAAATTCCACACCCCTCGGTGATGGGGAAATAGATTCGTATCGCGCCCGGACAAACATTCTGTTTTTCTCTGTGGCCAGCAATAAAAAGTGCCCACCATGGAGTGCAAAGGTCAGCACCCCCTCCCCACCACAGCCGACGAGGCAATCTGGACTGTAGATCTACGACATCTAACATGTTGATCGCGCACCTGTTTCACTACCATGTGGAAGGTTGTTAAGCTTCGTGTTTACCCTGCTGTCTCACATTTTGGCAGTCTCCAAACTTGACGGCTATGTATATAAGCTTGGGAACTTTAGTGAACAAATATTCACAGGTTGTTGCTCGTTACTCTCATACATCTACGTCACCCGGTATATAGGAGATTGAGGGTTCGACCCCAACGCTGTGCCTGTATATTTGGAGTTTGCATGCTCTCTCCCCGTGGTCACGTGGATTTTTCTCCAGGTACTCCGGGTTTTCCCTCCAGATTTTGCAACATGCGTTAAGAGTATTTGGCTGCTGTACATTTCCACATGATGAGCCCCTTTGTTGCGCTATCATTTGTGGCCAGGTTGCTTCTGAAAAAGAGCTTCATTGCTCAGTAGGCCTTACCTGGTAAAATAATAAAAATAGTTTCTAGTTTACATAAAGAGTCTCAGAAACGTCAGTAACCTGCACTGATTCTGCTTTAAACTATTTCAAGAACTATTTCATATTTTTCTAAAATTCTACCAGCTAGGACGACGCTCTTCCCAACTCCTGCAGAGGCCATCTCAGTCCTTGGCTGTCCTACGCTGATACAGGGTCATGACCCTGAGCTTTCGAAGCATCTTCCACAAGATCCTCTCGAAGTTCATGTCATGGTTGACATAGAAGATAAGCTGCTGGATTGGATCGAAGTAGTGGTCGGGAAAACTGTTGTAGTTGCTGGTGATGAATCCGTATGCAGAAACCTGCAAGTGAAGACCCTAATTATGACTTGAATTAATTATTGAATATGCTATTAACAGATCCAATTATCCATGCACGTTTTTAATCCGTTCTAATAAATTCAAATACATAACAGGATGAATTTTCCATAACCTCTGAGTTTACCACTCTTATCTGATAGTAAGCGCGGATAACAGGATGCATTGTCTTATGGATAACAGGAAGATCCACAAATCAATTTGAGTAGGCAATAGGAGGGTGAATAATAATGGCAAAATGACTGTCGGTTCAATTCTCACATCACATGGACCCCAATGCAGAGAATTCTCAATGGGTGCAGTGGACAGTACTTCAAAATGGATATGTAAAATCCTATTTTATAATTTGGCAAATTCCGCTATTGTCTGCTGGTTTAATTCCAATGTTTGACAATTATCTTTGCATATAGAGTGCATTAATTATGGTTGCTTGAGTATTAGCAGGCACTGCAGTCTCCCTTGCAAACGAGATAATACATATTCTTGGTTCTTTCGGTAAAGTCACGTAGAAAGGAAATAATAAAATAATCATAAAACAATCAAATTCTCACGACGTTTCGATTGCAACACAAGCAATCATCATCAGGTGTGAAACCCACAGCAATAAAATATTGTATTTTATTATTTCTCTTCTACGTGACTTTACCGAACGAACCAATAATATTAATCCCTGCAGTCACAAAAGCTTTAAATCGAGAGATAATACATGTCCGTAACATCTCAATTTAAAATATGGGCATCAGTCTTTAATAGAGTCTACACCAAATTCCCTTCCTGTAATTAGACTGCAGTTAGGTTAAAGCTTAGAGCTTTACCAAGTAAGAAAAATCCTGAATAAGCATGATTGTCCTCGAAAGTATTTAATTAGTGATAAGAACTGGACGTTCCTAATTCTAGATTTGAAGTTTTCGTGACTGCAACGATTCATACTCTTTGGGTTTTTTCGATAAAGTCACGTAGGTAAAAAATTTAAATAAATTAAATCACGTTTCGGAGGCAACACAAGCTTCCGTCTGTATCAAGTGATACAGTAATTTTGCTGTGACGGTTCCACCTGAAGACGGAAGCTTGTGTTGCCTCCAAAACGTCGTGATTTAATTTATTTTTTACCTACGTGACTTTACCGAAAAAAACAAAGAGTACGGACGTTCCTAGTCTGCAACGAGACAACAAAGCTCCATACCGGCTCTATCAGGGAGGGCACCAGCAACAATTTGATAAATGTGACCAGTGCGCTCAGGTTAACGTCCTGAATAGCAACTAAACCTTCATATTATAGCAGGACCTGGATCAGGAAGATCCTTTCACTGGAGATCCGAGCTGTTAGCCTGATGATGCTTGATGTATTCTTCAGCAAAAACGTCGTACCAATTTAAACTATTTTTTTTATTTAAAACTAAAATGTAAACAAAAAGGTAATACCAATTTAAATTACTCTCCAAAAACAACACTTGGATGCTGAAGCAGTAATAAATGTTGCACGTTTGTTCACGTGGCACTTTTAGTAATTGTCTGTGTCAGATAGAGGAGGAATTACGACGCACTTTTTCCATGACTTGACTCATAAAACCGTAATAATGAAGCTTTCAACCTTAAGGTGGAAAGCGTTGAAAAGGTCATAAACGTGTGCTTGGTGATGCGGTGTTGGTAGGTGGGAACCAGCCTTAACCGCCGTACCTGATCGCAGGTGTGCAGGGCAGTGAGCAGAGCAATGGCTCCAGTACTTGGTCTGTAAAGTTCCTTGAATCGAGTTTGTAAAATTGTGGATGGGAGGAAAGCTGTGGTCCATGGGCAGGGGTGTGCATGTTGTTCATAGTTAACATTAACAAAACATGCGACTTTATTAAAAGTAACCCATTGTGCGCTGGTGTTACGGTACACATTTTAACTGCACATGCAACTCCAACATATACATTCTATACATAACCACAGCTATAGAGCATAGCATAAAATAAAACACGAGCGCACTTTGTGTATTCAAAAGTCATTAAATTAAGTTTTTAAACCCATTACTGTATCTTATTTATATCAATGTATCGTATTCATATTTATCGACTGTGCCTTTTTACATTACTATACGTCGTGGATTTTTAGCTTTAAATTTAGATTTTTGTTTTCTATCTACGTGACTTTACCGAAAGAACAAAGAATATGAATATTACGATACAGTTTTGCATTTCAAGATGAATCTGGAAACTCATCACAATGTTACATCACATACGGCTTTCAAAATCATCATGGGAAGGGCAGCAGTGCTATAGTAGCAATCAATTCAACTTGTAATCCGCCACACAGTATTCGCTCACAGTCGAAGAGAGTGAGAGACAGAATGACTTTATAGACAAAGGGAGACCACATACAAGCGAGAAGCCAGCCAGTGAGACGGCGCCAAACCCCCCTCCCCCTGATGCTCTGCGGTCCTCCATCTATTAAGATGTTATCAGCCAATTAATAAGCGATGAGTCAGTAGCGCACTGCGCAATGGAGTTGATCGCGGAGAGGAATTACACAGGAAGCTGATGTGGAGGGACACTTAGAAGCATTAGTCGAGAGTAAAGAGTGGTGGGGTGGAGTGGTAGCACTGTGCTATAAATCCAGTAAAAATTTAGTTCGATTCCCAGCCATGGCTAACATCAGTGGTGGACGATATTTGAACTGGTCCAGGGTCCCCTCCCCCTTCAATCTGCACTGATCAATGTGGAGTTTGGTAAAAACAAACCCCATGTCCGACATGGCACGGGGGAGGCCTTAAACAAACGGTCGATTGTCAAAGGGCTGCAATTAATATAAAAATAACATCCGTGCTACTGTAACGGGTGAAGGAGTTGGATTGTTAACAAAGAAACCAGAATATGATAGCCTCGCATTTAAATACAGATGCGTGCAGTGGATGCGAGGCGTTTCATAGAATGGTAGGGCAAGCAACTTGGCAGTTCGGAATTGAACTGTGCAACAAAGTGCTATGGGTGTAATCAGGATACGGAGGTTTCGACAAGCGGGACACGTGTGTAGGATTGAGGAGGGCAGGTTGCCGAGACAGGTATTGGAGAGAACACCCAGAGGTCGTGAACCATGGGCAAAATCTAACGCCAGTTGGTGGGAGAGAGTAAGAGAGAGGACTTTGAAGGTTACTTGTTGACTTGACGGAAAATATGGGATCTGCGAGAAGGGGATGAGTGACGGCAAGGTGTGGTGTCATCAATCTTAATTTTGGAGCTTTCGTGACTGCAGGAATTATTCTTTGGTTTTTTCGGTAAAGTCACGTATAAATAAAATAATGTGGTGTCATCATCAGCATTGGTCATGATTATGTTAAGACCCAAACTTACGTTAAAATAATATTTTAAATAAATATAATTGACCCCTTTTATGATTAAGAAGAAGAGAGCCATACACTTACTTGTTTTTCAGGTATCGCAGAAAATCAGGATGGAGCATTTTAACTTTTTTTTCTACATCTTCTTTACCAAAATACGTGGGAGGACTGCAAGAGTGAAAACACCGAGGTGTGAATTTTTTTGTGAATATAAATTGCTCAATGATCGTCCGGCGACAGACATGATGCGAGGTTCTTGGCACCCGATAAAGACAACTGCAGCAAGACACGGGACACTTCACCCAATAATTGCATTCTCTGATCCAGGTCTGAGGTGTAGCAAAGTCACATCTTAAATAGTAATTTCCAATAAGGAGCAATAGGACAAGTAATCCAAGAACACAATTGACACCAATACACCACGGAAGATATACATGTATACGCGACACGAAAACCATTATAGGCTGTGTTAGGCCAGATATCAACACGGTCTGTTGGTCATTTATCAGATTTACTTTTATTGGAGCTCTTGAGCATGACAGGAATGGTCGTGGCCTATGGCCCAACTTAAAGGGTGCAAATTCTCTGCGTGTAATTGCGTTGCATTCTTTGAAGGTTGTACAGGTATGTAATGATGATCAACAGTGATTCTTGAGTCAGTGAGAGCTCATCGTTGTGTGGAAGAATCGCTTATGGAGAGAATCTATTTGCATATTGGCTATTTTAGCAACCTGTTTGCTGGTGCTAGGTCAGGGGTCGTCGGCAACCTGTAGATTTGGAGCTGCATGTGACGCTTTAAGGACTGCTCCGTGATGTTAATTACATACAATTGCGACTCTTGAAATGTTGAGTTTTTTTTACTGAATTCGCAAAAAAGTTCTCATCTTGTTATGTTGATTGCTGACCCCTGTGCTAGGTGGACAACCAATGCGAGTGGGCTATTTACATTTATAAAGATAGATTAATGTTTCTATTTAAAGCTTTCGTGACTGCAGGGATTCATCTTCTTGGTTCTTTCGGTAAAGTCACGTAGAAGGGATAAAAATAAAACATAATAAAATTATATACAATAATTTTATTATGTTTTATTTTTATTATTAAACATAATAAAATTATATAAAATAATTTTATTATATTTTATTTGTATTATTTTTATTGTATTATTTTATTACTTCCCTTCTACGTGACTTTACCGAAAGAACCAAGAAGATAGATTAATGTTGTTTTCTTATAGAACACATCCACGCTGTCGCAGAGGGAAAACATTCTGTCATGTTACATGTTTACATCCGTGTTGCCATAACAAACCATGCGACCCCCCCCCCCACATCTAGCCAATCAAAGAAAAAATATATAGATCTCAAGTGCAGTGGCGGCTCCTGCAAAATCTCTCAGGGGGGGCAAATGTCTGGATGATTGATAAGGATAAGGTCCACCCATGCAATGGATAAATTAACAGCTTAAGCATGTAAAGGCAACTTCACTTCTTTAATATTAATGAAAAATAAAGTGACTCTTACAATACATCTTGTTTGTTTCTATACTCACTATTAAGACAAACCACTCAAGTTTCTTTTATTAAAGATTCCACTAGGTGGCAACAAATTATATTCTTGGATGAAACGTGCTTACGTATGATGACGTTAGCACGTATGATGACGTAAGCACGTTAGGGCGAGCCCTCCCGGAAGCCATAGAGAATGCATTGCAGCGCCCCCGTTCGAAAAAAATCATCTTTGAATGTAAGTCTATGGGGCCACTCGGGGCGATTCTCAGCTGGAGGGAAATCGCCCAAAAAGAGGCGGTACTCCACAGAACGTGACATGACGCTGATTGGACTATATCCAGAGGCACAGTGACGGCTAGCGTGACTGTGGTTGAATGACATTGGTGGTGCGTCGCCCAATCGCCCTAATGAAGAAACCGCCCCTGCTCAAGTGACTTTATTACAGAGTCGGGAGCTCGCGAACCACACGCGAACTTGAATGCTCTCAGTGTGGAATTGAGATACCCACGATTAACAATGACAGTGTAAAGTTGCACTGTTTAACTACAGATTTAATGTACTGGGCTGACTCTACTTATTGTATTAAAGTGGAACTCAAGCAAATATTTACCTTCAGCCTATTGAACAACACTTTTCCTAAAACTAACGCGATCATATATCACGGCGACCTTCATAAGCGGCGGAGCTTTCACCTCCAAGCATTACAACTTTGATTAAACATGCCAGTGTTGACGCCAGCCTCAACCGGACTAAGTGACTGAGGTCAAAATGAGAGAACCCATTTAAACCTACGGCGAGCCAAAGTCACGTGAGGACAAAAGGACATTCAGTGTCTTGTACCTAAATTTCGATTTAAAGCTTTCGTGACTGCAGGGATTCATCTTCTTGGTTCTTTCGGTAAAGTCACGTAGAAGGGAAATAAAAAAATAAAACATGTTTTATATAAAAAAAAAAGTTTTATTATTTTTATTTAATTATTTCCCTTCTACGTGACTTTACCGAAAGAACCAAGAAGATGTCTTATACCTCTTTCCCACTGCATAACCAAGGGACTGTGCCCACCCAGCCTGGCATGGCTCAGGAGGCGCCAGGTGACTTTTCCACTGCAGAAACCGAGCATTGCTACGCAACAATGAATGTAAAATGAAAGTTATATTTAGATGTCTTGTGAGGCCAGAATTTTACAGTTTGGTACGGGCTCAGCTTTTGCAAATAACCGGTACATAAAAATAAATGTTGTGTCCGTTAAACCCACCACCACCCAACACAGCCAATTAATAAGGTTTGTCACGTAAACAGAACATGGCAATTCGTTACTATTTTTCGATTTAAAGCTTTCGTGATTGCAGGGATTCATCTTCTTGGCTCTTTCGGTAAAGTCACGTAGAAGGGAGATAATAAAATAATAAAAATAAAACATAACAAAATAATACAATTCTCACGACGTTTCGGCCAGCGTCTTTCCGACAGACTTGTTCTTCACCTGAGGACGGCTGATTGCGTTGTGGCCGAAACGTCGTGAGAATTGTATTATTTTATTATGTTTTATGTTTATTAATTCGTTACTAGTTCAACACATCGATCTGCTAACCCAACAAAAACTGCATTATGGATTCTTTGGTTCTTTTCGGTTAAGTCACGTCTAAAAATAAAATAATAAATTAAAATAACATATTACGACGTTTCGATTGCAACACAAGCAATCATCATCAGGCATAAAAGAAATAGCAACAAAAATCTAACTAGAAAACTATAGACAGAAAACTATAGTTAGATTTTTGTTGCTATTTCTTTTATGCCTGATGATGATTGCTTGTGTTGCAATCGAAACGTCGTAATATGTTATTTTAATTTATTATTTTATTTTTATACGTGACTTAACCGAAAAGAACCAAAGAATAATTCCTGCAGTCACGAAAGCTCCTAAATTAAGATTGCATTATGGATCATGTTGGTCGTGAAAGCCAACGTGTCCAACTGGATGGAGGGCTCTGTTGGCATGGCTCAGATGTGCCAGTGTAAAAAGGAGAGTAGTCGCAGCAGTATCGTGATCCACCCACCTCTGGTATTTATTAGGGCCCTTGGACACGCTCACACCCTTCACAGCGGCCGTCACCATGTAATAATCCTGATGCCCGCACGGCACAAACACGTACCTGGTTTCCTGAGGAACATAGATCGGGGTTTGGCACAGAGAGTTTGGGGGCTCAGAATCAAGTTATATCGTTGAAAGCAGATGGGGACCTGATAGACCAAAATATAAGGTCTCATTTGCAAAATCATAGATTAAATACAGCGATCAAACAAAACAAAAATCAGGGCCAAAAGCAACTGTATCACGTGAGATAATAGAAAATACGATGCAGAAATAAATGCATATTAAAGAATGATCATAGTACAATTAAATGATCATAGTACAATTACATTTAAGTTAGAGACCACTCTTTTTAATGTTTCTGTAACTGAAATATAAATGTACGTTCTAGTGTAAATCGGCTCTGGCGGATTATTTTTATACTGAACCATCGTACAATTACATTTAAGCTACAGAAACTTTAAAGACGTATGCACTAATGTGTAAACAAACAAGCATATACATTTACACATAGGCTTTATATATAATATGTTATCTTAATATAATTTATATTGCGCCTTGTTCAAAGCGCTTTACACAAAAACACATTCCTGCGGAGGGAGCTGGTAGGAACGTTGGGTTGCTCGGTCAATGGCCAGGGTCAACGGCGGCGTGGTGTGTTCCGCAAATATGCCCGACTCTGAGGGCGGGCACAAGCCGGCGTGAGTCGGTTAAACGTTGAGTTTTATAAGGGCACCACGGGGTGCCCAGCCCCTCCCCACCCAGCCCCTCCCCACCCAGCCCCTCCCTCCCCACCCAGCCCCTCCCTGCACGACGGACACAATAATCCCCTGTGGGCTGGTGTAACCTGGCGGTTCCTACCAGTATTAACATATGGATGTAATGGTGGAGATGAGATGAATGGGCAAATCTGTGATGCGCGAATTCAGTAAAAGCGAAATTGATGACAGAAAATGATGATGAATGGATTGAATGAATGGGGCATGAGTAAAAGCCACGTAATGAGAATATGAAGAGGGAACAGAAACGGTAGCGGTTATAAGGGGGGTATTAAGGAGTCGTGGGGTGAACTTTAGAGCAATAACTCACTGATTATAATCAGTGAGTTTTGAGTGCGGATCGGAAACTAGTGAGCGAGGGTGACTGCTCAATGTTGAGGGGGAAGTTTGTTCCAGCCCCTTAGTATTAGTTAGACTTTGTACCTTTAGTATAGTTAGAAATGTACACCACTTATTTAAGATTTAAGAGTTTTATATATTGAGCACAAGGAGACGGTTAGAATCATGGAGGTACAACGTACATTTTGTATTGTTTTATTTTTATTGTTTTAGTTTTATTATTTTATTATTTCCCTTCTACGTGACTTTACCGAAAGAACCAAGAATACGAATCCCTGCAGTCACGAAAGCTTTAAATCGAAATTGACATTTTTTTTAAACTCTACACCTCCACCACTCGACTAAGGCAATAAAATCGAGTTGTCAAGTCAGCAAACATGCCAATGGCTTTTGTATGAACACATTTGTTTGACTTTTTTTGACAATTTTCATCCGATGTTTCGCTGGAGATTATAACCAGCATCACCGGGTGTTTAACAAATGCTCAGCTCTCACTGAATCGAAACAAGAATGTACGTCGAATGCAATTGCGAGTGAAGTCATCGTGCAGAATCGACGGCTTAGCATCAAACTGTGATTTTGATGGGAGGGTAACCAAGGACGTATTTTAAAATCCTTTATATTAAGTTCGCTTGCTTGCTTAGGACCGTGCAAATCTTTCGGTCGTTTTTTAACCCACTTCCCGTGATCCAATCGAGCTGACATTTTCCACACAGACTCGTTGTGCGTGACAATTAATGTTCGTGAAAAATGTTTTCAAAATTTTTACACTTTTTAGGACAAAAATATTATATTTAATTACCAATTGCTTAATGGTGCAATGCAATCATCTGACCCATAGGTGGCAGCCATCTCAAGCCAGAGGACGAGAGGACTCTATCCGCCACGCATATAAAGGATTTATAGTGAAAAACTTTGTTTTTACGGGTTATACTTGTAAGCGTTTAGCTTCACGGGTAGTATATGTGCTTAATACTTGTGTGCACAGAGTCTATTCATGTTTAACATCACTGCCAGATTTACATTCACGTTAAAAGTCCAAAAAGGCCAGGTAAGACCCTGTCGAGACCACGTCTCATTATGGAGGGAGACCTGCGGATGAATGCACGCATTGTAGCAGCAAGGAGGTTCTCCTGCGACAAAGTAAAAATAAACATCACATCGACAAACATTATTACACCAAGCAGATGACGACAAGCAGATGACGCGTCATCAGGTCGAACACCACGTGAGACTGAGCTCTAACAAAAGCGGTCTCTGGTGTGGACCAATCAATTTCAAGGACAATGCATACATGATCAGAGTGCTGTTTTTTTTTGCATTTTGACCGCAGGTATTGTGGTTAATGCAAACATGATCCCTTGTAAAAAGGTGTCAGTTTTGTTGCCAGATAAAAGGGTAAAAAAAAACTATTATCAAGTATTTCGAGAATCAACCATCGCAATGACTAACGGGTTCTAAAGATGGACAGATGCAAAAATAAATGGTTGCAATTTACGATTGGGATTAACGTTATTTCCGATGTGAAGTTGAGAATGATAAAACAAGTATAACCCGTAAAAACAAAGTTTTTCACTATAAATCCTTTATATGCGTGGCGGATAGAGTCCTCTCGTCCTCTGGCTTGAGATGGCTGCCACCTATGGGTCAGATGATTGCATTGCACCATTAAGCAATTGGTAATTAAATATAATATTTTTGTCCTAAAAAGTGTACAATTTTGGAAAAATTTTTTACGAACATTAATTGTCACGCACAACGAGTCTGTGTGCAAAATGTCAGCTCGATTGGATCACGGGAAGTGGGTTAAAAAACGACCGAAAGATTTGCACGGTCGTAAGCAAGCAAGCAAGCGCGCAAGTGAACTTAATATAAAGGATTTAAAAACAAGTAAAAAATGTATCGTCGGCGACGAAAAGTTCGAGTGACATCTGGCGGCAGAGATGAACGTCATTGCCAAATCCTTCGCTGCAGCGGCACGCGCTCTTTGGGCCATCCTTGAGGCCTCTCTCCATCTGGTGAATTTACCATCAAGAAGTGGACTTGAATTCACTGCTTTAAATCCGCTACGGCCCCATGGGCAACCGTCACTTGACAGCTGTGAAATTGCAAGTGTCATTTGTTATTTATTTGTATGACTTTTTTATTATTGCTGTTATTTTTGCCCGAAATTATTCTGTTGTTTTGTTCGAGTTTCTGCACGATCGAGTTTACGTACGATCGTTACATTTATCGAGCAACGTAACTTCCCCTGTGTATTTCCACCTTTGCCGAACGGAGCTTGGGCTGGACCCCCTGTGGAAACGAGCTTCGTAACTCATCGGACTCTTCCAGCTGAACCCTTTCCCATTCCGATGATGTACGTGAGAGTTACGATGACGGCGGAGAGTTTTTCTTCCGATTCCGGAAGAGATCGGAAGTAAGAGGCCATGCGGGAGAGAGCGTGGCACAGTTTGGCACCAGCTATCATAGAGTGCGGTCGTGTCATCACAGTTCTCTGCGGTGAGTACAATGTCCTTAAAAGCAGCGTGCTACGCCTTCTATAAATAAAATTAGTGCTAACCACTTGCGCGTTCCGAGATTCAGCGATAAGCGGGACCCCCCACCCTGCAACTTGCGGATGTCTCGGAACGGGAAAAGGTTAAATAAGATGTCTGATATTTTTAGGTTTTTTCGGTAAAGTCACGTAGGTAAAAAATTAAAATTAATAAAAGTAAAATAAAAATAAAATAAAAATCACGACGTTTCGGAGGCAACACAAGCTTCCGTCTGATGTCTATTGCCCTGTAAATCGCTCACGTGCATGAAGTGGGCGACTGTGTGGCCAGGAGGGGAGAAGAGTTACCTTTGACCACGGCGGGTGTTTGAACCCGAAATGCTTGTATGCGGCCATCGAGTTTGCCAAGGTGTTTGTCGAAAAAAAGTAGAACGAGGTTCTTGTTCCGACGTCTTTTTCAAAATTGGCTGTTATGGCGCCGTTGACCCTGATGCACACACACACACAGTCAGTCACCCGGACGCATAGTGCACGCAGCAGTGCAACGCCGCGTATCCGACTCACAGCGGACGCACGCACAGGCGGATGTCGTGCAAAGGCCAGGGGTTTTGAAGATGGAAACAGAATGATCCGTACAACCGTCCACAAATTCTGCATTGGGTGCAGGCGTTTAATTCGATATCCGTTGGTCGGAAATGTGAACTTTTACCGTACGACTCATGATCATCCGCTGGTGGCACAATAAAAGGGTACGTTAAAATAAAATGTCTTACATGCACGCTGCTAGTCTTCTAAGTGCCCAATTACTTCAAGAAACAATTTTAAAAAATACAATGGTGCATTCCCTGTCTTCAACCACATTCTATGTAGGTAAACGATCAATGCATTTAATAGCCTAGTTTATGTGCACTTTGTGTTCTTGTCTTACCCATTTACTCTTTTATTGAGGCCTTAGTTTTTGTAAGTTTGGATCACTGCATGGAATTTCACGGAGTCAAAGCTCGCTTCGTCGTTTGCAGAGGGCTTCTGTTTTTATCACGGTTGCTGAGCACAGGCCCAAAGGCTCAGCACATTGAGCAACAAGCAACAAACAGCACCATTGGAATATCTTAAAAATAAAATATATATATATAACAGCAAAGCCCCGCGTGTTTGTGTGTCTGTTCAAAGGTAATCGTTCAAAGGTGGGCATTCAAAGCTGGTCAGGCGTGGTGCTGGCCACCCACCCCCCTTCGTGTACCGTGCTGGCCTTTATAGGTGCTCACTAACATCACTTGCCCCAAAAGTCTGTTGAGGCTATATGGAGGGGATCTTTGTCCGTTCAAGAGCACCACGCGGAGACCGATGAGCCCTGCCCACAGTACCTCTCGATCGACTGCCGCTGACCACCGATCGCGTTCGCGTGCGCCGATCGGTTCACAGTTCCTATGATTGCTTTTTTCATTGCTTTCATGGCTTTATTTTGGTGATTTCGAAAAGTGTATTGGTTTAGCCATGTTTGTTTGTTGTAGTACAGAGTTAGACTGATGGCCTTAATCTAAGTTGTCTTATGGTTGTTGTTGTTGTTGTTGTTTGACTTGCATCCCACTGGGATTTTTGCACACAGCGTTGGTGTACGGTGATTTTTTTCTGCAATATTTTGCTGTCTTTTCTTGGATGTTCTGTTTGCACTTAGTCACATATTCACTTTAAGATTTTTTTTGTTCATGTTTTTGTTTTTTGTTTGTTACGGTTGCACCCGATTCAAGAGCCGAATGGCTCACAGGGCTATACCTAATAAATGAACTTGAACTTGAAACGTTGCTCGCGATTTTGAACTGGATCCGACCGTCGATCCAATGAATTCCATAGAAACAATTACCGATCAACGACCCTAACCGCGACAATGCTCGAACAACGCTCACAGCGACTCCTACCTGAACACGTGGTCATGAGCGTCGATCTCCTCGCCCTTGCCCGAGCCGGCAAGGATGCCTCCGTTCCCCACGACGGCGCAGCGCACGCACGCCGTCGGCTCGCGCTCTCGCGTCGCCACGTCGAACATCTCACGGTGCTCGGGCCGCCCCAGGGCCTCCTTCGCCTCTTCCAAGTCTGCGTGATCGAAACGGGCGGGGGGTGGGGGGGAAAGCACGCGAGACGGCGGCCATATATAGTTGACCTTTCGATTTAAAGCTTTCGTGACTGCAGGGATTCATCTTCTTGGTTCTTTCCGTAAAGTCACGTAGAAGGGAAATAATAAAATAATAAAACTAAAACATTTCGATTTAAAGCTTTCGTGACTGCAGGGATTCATCTTCTTGGTTCTTTCGGTAAAGTCACGTAGAAAGGAAATAATAAAATAATAAAACTAAAACATTTCGATTTAAAGCTTTCGTGACTGCAGGGATTCATCTTCTTGGTTCTTTCCGTAAAGTCACGTAGAAGGGAAGTAATAAAATAATAAATATAAAACATTTCGATTTAAAGCTTTCGTGACTGCAGGGATTCATCTTCTTGGTTCTTTCGGTAAAGTCACGTAGAAGGGAAGTAATAAAATAATAAAACTAAAACAATTCGATTTAAAGCTTTCGTGACTGCAGGGATTCATCTTCTTGGTTCTTTCGGTAAAGTAACGTAGAAGGGAATTAAAACAATTTTATTATGTTTTATTTTTATTATTTTATTACTTTACCGAAAGAACCAAGAAAATAAAACATTTTTTATAATGTTGAATTTTTATTATGTTATTTATTTTATTATATAAAATTTTTATTATTTTATTATTTCCCTTCCACGTGACTTTACCGATAGAACCAAGAAGATAGTTGACCTTGTTTTAAAGGTCTCGATGTATAGCCCGTCGTGCTAAATCGTGCACCTCCGATTAGCACGATGGTTGGCTACGTACGGTGCGAAAAAAGTTCAACATACGTACGTGCGAAGGGGGCAGCGTTAGAAAACTCAGGGTGGGCACACAACACGGTCAATGTTCCAGCCCACCGAAGCCAGGGGGCTGGAAGGTGGCACAGCTGGCACCAGAAATAGAACTACATTTATTAAACAGGAATGATGCGTTGGCTGGGTGGCTCAGAGGTCAGAGCGCTGAGCTTGGCACGGCTCAGAACCTGGGTTTGAATTTGGCGTTTTCGCCGACAGTGAACTCAAAAGTATCGCGAGTTGGTGCTCTCAGGCCGGTCACCAATGACTGCACACAAACAAAAACGCCATCATGTTAAGTACATTTTTAACACCGAGAATTCGAAAAAAGATCAGATTGCCACGCGACAAACAGTCCTGTGTAACATCGCATTTGGGAAAGTTCATCATCCCATAGTGTGCGTGCGTGTGGATAAAACAAATATATCACTTGAAGGGCTCAGAGAAGTCGTTCTGTGGTAGCTACTCCGGCTGGCAATTGTCTAACGTGGGAGCGATGCCCCCGCTGATCGGGCAACGTCTTCTCACGACACGACGGCGACAGCGCAAATGGAAGAAGAGAAAGAAAAAAAACCGACGAAACAATCAACGCGACAGACGAAACATTTGCAACTGCTCGCCCTTACCAGTCCAGTTCATCCCTTTCCAGCCGTAGGGAGTGCGGTAATTGCTCAGGCGCTCGAATTCACCGGCGGTGATGTGGTCGCTCCACAGAAGCACGGGAAGGTCGAATCGGAATACGGACTTGAGGGTTTGGTCTGCAGCAGTCACCCCGCGCAGGCTCCGTCCGCAGTTCTAAGTCAATCAAATCCACAAGAGGTTACGCTGGCATCCACAAGTGAGATAGTATCTGAATAAGGGCTAAGAGAGAGCATATTTTATCCATACCACAGTGGAGGGGGGGGGGGGAGATTCTCCTTTCTGTATTACACTTTCAATAGTGCTCTTTGTTGCTGGCCACGCGGCGTTCTGGGCTTGTAGGCCTATGCTCAGCAACTGTATTGAAAAAAATCATCCTTAACTTGAACGGAGTCTCATGACTCCTCTGCAAGAGGGTCTCGCTTCGAAGGTTTATCCAATTTCCGAATTGAGATTTTTTTTCTTCCATTCCGGTGCCCTAATGCACATTGTGATGTTGCCATGATCTATCAACCCCAAAGCCATGAACTCTGAGATGCACCTCCAGTCAATATGCGCACATGACAATACACAGCGCATAGTACTCACAATCAACCAAGACAGTGCAGAGTGCATTTTGCACAATGTTGCTGTACTGCTCCCGACTCTTGCTGGATCTCAGAAGCTAAGCAGGTTCGAGCCTGGATAGTGCTGGGATGGGTTACCACCATGCACAAAACACGGGTGACATAAGGAGCTGTGGGGGCAACGGTGTGGGCACTAAAGAGCGGTGCATCTACGTCCCTCACCTTCACCAGCCTGCGCTGGCCACCGTGGTCAAGTACAATCCCCCATCTCATGACTGACACGGTGTGGGGAGGCCCTCATCCAGCAGTGGATTGACCAGCGGCCTGTACTGACGCATGCTCTCGGCTGTTGGCTCCTTTGCAACTCGAACCCGTTATTCATGGTTGTGTTCGTCAGCGATCACGCATTGACACGTGTAGTCCGTGACTCTTTCCAATATCGTTTGACCTCGGAGGTATTTAATTAGCGGTCGTAATAATAAAAACGTTACGTTCCAAGCTGCGTCGTGACGTGTGACATGACGTGTTGACAACACGATGCACCGGTAAATACATCTTTGTCTTGAAAGGGGAACGCTTTTAGTGCTCATTTTTTGTCGTCAATTTTCGGAACTTTTCTTTGATCAATTCGACCGGCTTTCTCTAGGGTACGTCTCCAATAATAACACCAACAACAACAACAACAACGCAACTACATGACACTTCACCTTCCGTACAGATCCTTCTGTCTTCTATCATCACGATAGCTATATTCTTAGGTTTTTTCGGTAAAGTCACGTAGGTAAAACATCAAAATTAATAAAAATAAAATAAAATAAAGATCACGACGTTTCGGAGGCAACACAAGTCTCCGTCATCAGGTGGGACCGTCACAGCCAGATTAGCTGCATCAAGTGAGGCAATGATTCAAGATGTAATCCCTTAAAAGCGAGTTGAGGGGGGAGGAGAGGGGGGGGAGCTCATCAGAATGTGGTAGCCAATGAATGGAACGTATCGGGAGGGAAGGGGGCGGGGCCAAAAGGGTGGGCGACGGCGTGGAAGCGATTGTGCGCAAGAGACAAACTGCTGCACACGCCAACGCATTGGACAGAGAGGGGGGAGGGGGAGGCCTGATACACATGATACAAAAGAACGGAACTGCCATTGTTTATACCAATGCTGGCTGAACAATGAAGAGATTACTGTTAAACACTCGGTAAAGTAAAGTAAAATAGTGCCTGTCAGATAAGATGGTCCAAAAAAGTGTAATTAAGTCTTTTTTGCGTGGTTAATAACATATTTCCAATGATTACTAAGTTTGTACCCATCATCACGGTTGAAATTATGTCTGTGTTTGTATATTTGTATGGCTTCGTGTACAAACCTTTGATGGTAGCCAGGAGGTTTGCAGAGAACCTTGGTCTCGGAAAAGACAATTTCATGAGAGCCCACCGAGTTGTAGCAATGACTTGATGCAGCTAATCTGGCTGTGACGGTCCCACCTGATGACGGAGACTTGTGTTGCCTCCGAAACGTCGTGATCTTTATTTTATTTTATTTTTATTAATTTTGATGTTTTACCGACGTGACTTTACCGAAAAAACCTAAGAATATGAATCCTTGCAGTCACGAAAGCTTCAAATCTAGAATCACGATAGCTGTCGCGTCCCCGTTATCATCATTCCTCACCACCCAACCTTAAGTCACGGCCGGCGTGCGGAGGGGATCCGACCGGCAGCAGCTCCGCACGGCGCGGCCGCCGTGACGACTGCCCCTCGTCGCTAGCCGTGCCGTCGTGCGTCGGGGAGCTCACCGCCGCGAATTTGTTCGCCTCCAGACGGTAATCGTCGTCGTCGTCACCGCTCTTGCCCTTCGCGCGGAGCCACTCCTTGACCGTCGCGTCGACGCTCTCGCCGCGGTCCGGGTCCCATGCCGTCGGGGTCGCCGCCGCCGCCGCCGCGGGCTCCGCGGTTGAGGGGTCGACCGCCGCCGCCGCGTCCGTGCCCGTTGGTTTTGTCGACAGAATCCGACCCCAGGTCACGAGGGGCGCCAAGGTAACAACTGCGTCGTGGAAAAAAACGTCGTTTGTGAGGAGCGAGTCGACGAGACGATGCCGCGCGTCTTCAAAACGCAACCTTCGGGTTTGGAGAACGTGAGACGGGCGTAGCGATGTGAACCCGATAAATACTCGTTGGTTCTTTCGGTAAAGTCAGGTAGTTGGAAATAAAATAAAATAGAACAAATCTCGACGTTTCGATCACAACACAAGCGGTCGTCATCCGGCAAAGGAGTCAGCCTCTGAAGGCAAACTGTTTATAAGGGTTTTGGGGATGAGCGTAGCCCAATTGCACCACCAACAACAACAGCAGAAGCACGAGCGGTGCACGAGTGCCAATGCAGCAGCAATGCCAATGTAGCAGCAATGCCAATGAAGCAACAGTGCCAATGCAGCAACAATGCCAATGCAGCAGCAATGCCAATGCAGCAACAATGCCAATGCAGCAACAATGCCAATGCAGCAGCAATGTCAATGCAGCAGCAATGTCAATGCAGCAACAATGCCAATGCAGCAGCAATGCCAATGCAGCAGCAATGCCAATGCAGCAGCAATGCCAATGCAGCAACAATGTCAATGCAGCAACAATGCCAATGCAGCAGCAATGCCAATGCAGCAGTAATGCCAATGCAGCAACAATGCCAATGTAGCAGCAATGCCAATGCAGCAGCAATGCCAATGCAGCAGCAATGCCAATGCAGCAGCAATGCCAATGTAGCAGCAATGCCAATGTAGCAGCAATGCCAATGCAGCAACAATACCAATGCAGCAGCAATGCCAATGCAGCAGCAATGCCAATGTAGCAGCAATGCCAATGTAGCAGCAATGCCAATGCAGCAGCAATGCCAATGCAGCAGCAATGCCAATGCAGCAGCAATGCCAATGTAGCAGCAATGCCAATGTAGCAGCAATGCCAATGCAACAACAATGCCAATGTAGCAGCAATGCCAATGCAGCAGCAATGCCAATGTAGCAGCAATGCCAATGCAACAACAATGCCAATGTAACAACAATGCCAATGTAGCAGCAATGCCAATGCAACAACAATGCCAATGCAGCAGCAATGCCAATGTAGCAAAATGCCAGTGCAGCAGCAATGTCAATGCAGCAGCAATGCCAATGCAGCAGCAATGCCAATGCAGCAGCAATGCCAATGTAGCAGCAACGCCAATGCAGCAGCAATGCCAATGCAGCAGCAATGCCAATGAAGCAAAATGCCAATGCAGCAGCAATGCCAATGTAGCAGCAACGCCAATTCAGCAGCAATGCCAAATGCTGGGGATGCGGGGGGGAAATTTAACTCGGAAAAACAGACTAATACCCGGCAGATATGATGGAACAACCATACACAGTTAAGATTTTACCTGGTTAATTACATCCTTCCAATGATTGCTCAATTTGTATCCATCTTTTCGGTTGAAGTTACGTCTATCTACGTTTATATATCTAGATGGCTTCATGAACAAACCTTTGGAAGTAGCCCCTACGTTTGCCGAGAACCTTGGTCTCGGAAAAAACAATATCATGCGAGCCCACAGCGTGAAAACAATGGTCAGCCACGGCAGAGGTATTGGATCTGCCGTGTTTCAAATCTGCCTTGTGTTCGCGAACAACCGGATAAATATTCGGCGTGCAACAATCCACCAGCTCATTGATTACGACCGCCAAGATTACCGATCACGATGAGCGCGCATCGAATCGCTCGGGTGAGAATCAATTTTCTTGGTTCTTTCAGTAAAGTCACGTAGAAGGGAAATAATAAAATAAAAATAAAAAACATAATAAATTAATATTTTATAAAATAATAAAAATAAAACATAGTAAAGTCATATTTTATAACGTTGAATTTTTTTTATTATTTTTTAATTTCCCTTCTACGTGACTTTACCGAAAGAACCAAGAAGATGAATCCCTGCAGTCACGAAAGCTTTAAATCGAAATTTGAGAATCAATTGTTTATATCCTGCGAGAATGAATATATGCCGGACGCTACATTGAGTCCAATGCTGCGAACAAAACTGTTCAAGGGAGACGGAAAAAAAAGAAAAACACTCCTATGGAGATGGTTAAAAACGAGACGAGATCAACGATATATGAATTTTGGCGGTGGGGGGGGGGGGGGGCGTGGGGGCTGGTGGAGGGCATTGCAGTTGACACGAGAGCACAGGGCGAACCATCGACAGACACTCCACCGATGTCCAATGTACGCCGCGTACTTTGTACTTAACAAAGTGACTTAATGTTGGGAAAGTGAAGGCCCCCTCGTCAAAATATTTGATGACGTAAAAGGCTCTGAAATGCAATGTTGTTTAAGGGGCCGTCCATAAATGACGTCACTCGATTTTGGACGATTTTTTTACCCCCCCCCCCCCTCGTCACACGGCGTTACAAAAAGTCAGACCCCCCCCCCTCAAATATGACGTCACAAAGCTCTGCTCCCCCCCCCCCCTCCCAAATAAAACATGCTTCAAATCGCTTTAAACTATTGTCATTGTAGTGCGTATTTAATGTGGCGCTGCACTCTGAGGGTGTAGGAGAAAACATTTATTTATGAAAAAGTCTATTTAATTAAGTAGAACGTGTTGTTTATATTTATTTAGAGTTGCGCATTTTGATGTGACGTCACATTTCTCAACCCCCCCCCCCCCCCTCGTCACACATCGTCTCAAATGTCTGACCCCCCCCCCCAGGTGCGTGACGTCATTTATAGCCCCATGTAGAGCTATCTGTAAATGGATCATCCTGTATATGGGAAAAAAATGCATGCAGTGAAGCATTTCACATGCATCATGTTCTATTAGAAAAAAAAAAGTTTTGCTGGCTGGCTTCATTACCGGTGTGGTGAAGTATCATCAAATAAACCCCACGTCTGAGAAGGTATGGGGGGGCTTTCATCCAGTAATGGATTGGCAAAGGGCTGTACGTCACCGTAGCTGTGTTAAGTACATACATTTCGCTGTGTTTATTTTTCCCATACATTTCACTGCGACCATTGCTATTATCTTCGTTGAGTTGTTACAGCTTGGTATGCTGCCTTTTGTTCCATGGTGAGGTTCTCACTTGTTACCAGGATGACAGTTAAACAAAAGCCGTAAAAACTTTCAATGGGCTCTCACCTGGTCTATCAATCAATAGTGTCAACGCAAATTGCCCTTCTCATCGCCCACACCACGTATGCAATAGCATAAGCAATGTAGGGGCGTCAGACAAGATGAAACGCTTTCGCTAATGTTATATTTCACGTTTCACGCCATACACACAAGATGTACGCGGTGTCCAATTGCCGCGTGTCGGTGTGTCACAGCTGAGAGGCGGTGGTTCGAGTGGTTCGCTTTCCCCTACTCAAATTCCAGCCCACCGAGTTCCATTCCTGGCCAAGGATATTTACATCGGTGGCACGGGGGGGGGGGGGGGAACTGGACGCCGCTCACGTCCGTCGTTGGGTTAAACAGCGCGTGATACAGATATTTTTGCTGTGACGGTTTCACCTGAAGACGGAAGCTTGTGTTGCCTCCGAAACGTCGTGATTTTATTGTTTTATTTTTCTAAAATTTTTACCTACGTGACTTTACCGAAAGAACTAAGAGTAAGAGTATGGGTGCCTGGTGCGTTGTGCAGTGGGGACTCAAACCACGTGTGGCCCATATTCTTGGTTCTTTCGGTAAAGTCACGTAGAAGGGAAATAATAAAATAATATAAATCAATAAAATTCTCACGACGTTTCGACTGCAACACAAGCAATCATCATCATCATCAGGTGTGAAATCCACGGCAACAAAACCACGTGTGGCCCGCCAATGGTGTTCGAAATCCGCAAGTCGGCCCTCTCACCGAGGGAGAAGGTTTCCGGACCCCCGTGGTGTGAACTCACCGCGAACGTGCCACCCACTCGCTGTGCCCTCGTCCGCAGGACTCTGTCCAGCCCTGGTCCTGCGCGACGTAGAACACCAGCAGCAGCAGCACGAGCACGCACACCAGCACGAAGGCTCGCAGCCACGCGTTCTTCATCACGGCTGCTGCCCGACCCGTGGTGGATGGCGCGTCCTTCACAAGGACCACGAGAGCGTTCGACGTGTCGGCGCAGACATCACAGGTGGCGTGAACTTCCCCGCTCCCGGGTTCGCTCTAGCGGACACGTCCGCTGTAGACGAACTCTGCACGGTGGATATTTGGTGCTGCTGCTGCTGATGCTGTTGTCACGTCCGTGAAGATGTGACAGCCAGCTGGATCAGCGGTAGAGCGGGCGGGCTCGAATTCAGAAAGTTATACGAGTTCAAATCCCGGTGGGTTAAACTCAGCCCGTCATCCGTACAGAGGTCAATACTGTGAGTACCACTTTGTTGGGAACTCAACAGGTTCAGTTCAGTTCATCTATTAGGAAGAGCCCTGTGAGCCATTCAGCTCTTGACTCGGGTGTAACCGCAACAAATAAAAACATCTTCTTGGTTCTTTCGGTAATAAAAATGAAACATAATTGTCAAGGCGCTCTTCCCCCTCCAACCCAGCTTAAATATACGCTCCAAGCCTGGGGTGTTTCATTCAGACGCTGTCTTCCCGACAGACCTGTTCTTCACCTGAGTACGGCTGCTTGCGTTTTGGCCGAAACGTCGTGAGAAGAATTTTATAATGTTTTATTTTTATTATTTTATTATTTCCCTTCTACGTGACTTTACCGAAAGAACCAAGAAGATGAATCCCTGCAGTCACGAAAGCTTTAAATCGAAATAAAAACATGCACAAGAAACATCTTAAAGTGACTACACACAATAAAAAAAATCCAGGAAAAAACAGCAAAGTCTTCCAGAAAAGGGGGATGTCTCATGGATAGACTTGCCCCGGCCAGAGGAATGTAGAATTTACAGCATTGCTTCAGAGCTATAAACAGGGGATGAGCACCATCTCAATGCTCATTTGAGCAGCCTATATCTGTGACTTTTGACAGGTGCTGTATAAAGTAATTACTTTATGCTGTCATATTAACCAAGAACAATTTAATTGGAAATTAACTTTTTTTGTTCCATTAGTAGAGAAAAAAAGACAATTTTAACATCCGCTAGAATTATAAAACTTTGAGCAACGTCGAGGCTTTAATATTCAAGATAAAAACATGTTTTTTTTTATGAAAGGCAATCCATACAAACGAAACAACAGAACATTACATTTACGTGTTAGTGTTAGGTACGCGTACTTCGTACAAATAACTACTCCAGTGGCTAGCTCCTATAAACCCAACACACGCTCGCTCACTCATATCTCTTGCACCCTTACCTTTTATTGTATTCTTCGAAACGTGAAGAACCTAACACGGTACTTTTCGAAAGAAAGCGATGACTGAACGGGGATCCCTTTGACGTCGGTTTTGCAGCATTCCGTAGTAACAACAACAAAAAACTGGCCACAAATTCTTTCCAATTCAATATTCGCTATTTATTTGAACACCTATCACCAGAGGTGTGGACTCGAGTCATGTGACTTGGACTCGAGTCAGACTCGAGTCATGAATTTGATGACTTCAGACTCGACTTGGACTTGCATAACAATGACTTTGTCCCACCTCTGCCTATCACAAGACTCGCTTTGAATGCGTTGTTGCCAGTGGAGGTGCGTCGTGTGTGCGGGCACTGCTGACGTAGGTTATATTGAGTCACCTGTAGACGCCATTCATATAAGGCGGGTACAAAGTTCATTGTGCAATAGATCAGTGTGTCCTTATTTACATTTGTGTATCACATTCATTTCACTGTACTCTGTTAACTCGTCACAAAACCAAACCCAACTCAATGTCGCATTCATTGTGTTTATAACGACACCTGTTGCTTTACCTGATGGTAGTAATTTGAAAATGAACATTCAAAGCCACTAGTTACCTCTGAACACAAAGTCTTACCTCTGAAGACCTTTAAAGACAAAGTCTTCATAGGTAACTGTTCAATACCTGGGATAATTATTCATCAGTCTGTTAGGCTATGCGCTCACCTGTGGTATAGCTGTTTAGTTACCTGGCTTGGTAGCTCAGCAATTTGGGGTATTACTACGGAGCCAAGATTTTAAGTAAAGTGCTGTAAGTCAAATTATCTTTACAGCACCAAGAAGACGGAGTGCAAAGATATCGGTGTATCCCTCGCATTTAAAACGAGGTGCAGTTATTTAGTGAACGCATTCGTTGAGGTGGGAGACCAAGGGATGAGACGTGATGGTATGACACGCAACATCACGTAAAGACACAAAACCAGACACAAAGCTGCGATCGCAACATACCAGGCAGATACAATACCATATACAGTCAATCACAATGCCAGACAAAATAATGACAACAATAGTAATTGTATGTATGTAGAACTTCTTTCGCACCATACGGAGCCAACCGCGTTAATCGGAGGTGTAGTTAATGATTTAGTACATTTACACAATTACACACGCGGGAACGCTTTATTAGGATGAGCAGAGACACAAAGCCACATAGACACAAACATCAGAAAAGCAGACAACAACACTTAACATGCCGATACACCGCAAGGCAGACACAATGTGACACACTGGAATATAAATACCGCATTGGTTTTTCATTCACAGGAGCGAAAAAACAAACTTAGTCGCTTTGCTATGGTTGGCTTTTTATTATGAGTATTCTTCGTATGAAGTGAGGAACGTTCCGTTCCTTGAAACAAAATAAAAAAAAACTCAACACATTTGTCAATAACAATGGCCTTAAAATAAATATATAACAGGCGACGTTTCATGCAATGGCCCTTCTTCATAGCACTCATTATGTGACATAAACACGGGCCCATTGCCCAAACGTCACCTATTATGTCCTTTTAGTTTCTCCTTTTAAAGCCGCAGCGTTATTGACGAACGCGTGGAGTGTTTTTTTCTATTGTTTGTTAACGCACGTGCTTGTGCACCAATGGCAGAGCAGCGGCAGCATCACCAGATCTATTAGTTCCTTAACACTTCAAAGGCTTCACTTGAAGAGCCGAGTCCATTGAATGCACCGTGATGCCGTGCTTTCCATATAACAGATGGTTTTACTGGTAGGAACCACCTGGTTCCACCAGCCCACAGGAAATTATTGTGTCCGTCCGTCCGTCGTGCATCCAAAAATGGGAGGGGTCGGGCTGGGTGGAGAGGGGTGGGTGGGGAGGGACTGGGTGGGGAGAGTGGGGCTGGGTGGGGGGTGGGAGGGGTGGGGCTGGGTGGGGAGGGGCTGGTCACCCCGTGGTGCCCTTATAAAACTCAACGTTTAACCTACTCACGCCGGCTTGTGCCCGCCCTCACAGTCGGGCACATTTGCGGAATACACCACGCCACCGTTGACCCTGGCCATTGACCGAGCAACCCAACGTTCCTACCAGCTCCCTCCGCAGGAATGTGTTTTTATGGGTTAGATTGCGTAAATATCAACATGTCGTTAAACCCACGTGGTGTGTTTACTCTCCAACACACAACAGGGTGTAATATGGGACCTTTCTTGCCAATATCGAAATATAACAATAGGTTTGACTCTTTGGCAAAAAAACAGGTCAGTTTAACACGGAGGCTTTCGCGAACAATATCATCCATAACACAGGTTTGTTTTTGGGTTAGATCGCGTAAAGATATAAATGTGTCGTTAAACCCGCCACCACCCGACACAGCCAACTAGTAAGGGTTGTCGCGTAAACAGAACGTGGCCAATTCGTCATGAGTACAGCACGTTGTGTCTACGTGACAACCCTCACTAATTGGCTGTGTTGGGTGGTGGCGGGTTTAACGACACATTTATATATTTACGTGATCTAACCCAAGAAAAGCACTCTAATGGATAATATTGATCGAGAGACCATCCTTTACTGCGTGTTAAACTCATTCCGTACTTTGGTTTATTTCCTCCACGGTAGTTTGTTGATGAGAAGAGTCAGCGACTGAATGGAACGCATCACGGTGCAGCTAAATTCTCATGTCCTGTGTCCTAAAGGCCTCGACGCTACCGAATACAAGGAATGGACATCATATTTAAAAAATCCTTTTCACAAAAAACATTTTGTTGGAAGGACATGCAGTGCAGTTAAAAGCATTCTATTCTATTTATAATTGATATATTTTCTGTCCAACAGATTTTCCGAAGAAATGTTTCGCAAGTAAAACTTGAGCAATATAGACGAACAAATAGCTCACCCAGCTACTGAGAATAAAATGTTAAACAAACAACAATACACAACAGCGAGTACTGACACAGAATGTCAGACGCATACAATTAGAGGGGCAGACACACAGCGTTGTTGTCACGTTCTGACTCGCCCCTAATGGACATCTGTGAAAAAATAACTTTTATTGCTAATCGGATTCCAACACTATACATAAAGATTCTGATTCTGACAACCCGTTGACATGGACCTGAACACAGACCACACAAACATTGTACTCTTAGGTTCTTTCGATCAAGTCACGTAGGTAAAAATAATAAAATAGAATAACAATAATAAATGAAAATAACTAAATTAAAGCACGACGTTTCGGAAGCAACACAGGTGCAACTGCTCCATTTCTTGCAGTCACGAAATCTTCAAATCTAGAACACAAACATTGGTTTCACACACAGCAGCGATGCAACACCAAAGGTAAACATTCCCCAGGTGGTCGCCTTGTCGAGGCTGTTGAGGCAAGTGCGATTCGTGAGCAATCGTGAAGGCCAGAAGGGCGAGTGAGGGCGAGTGAGGCGTGGTTAGCAACCACCTCTGTCACCCCCCCCCCCTCTGGTGATGTTTGCACACCGAACTATAATTCTAGCTATATCCTGTCACTTGGCGAAAGTTATATATCTGAATTATATTTTACTTTGAAGTGCAATTTTTGTTGTTGTTAGGGCTTATACATATTGTACCGTATTAATGTATTGTTAAATGTTGCCTACATTTGTTCAGTTGTGTTCTAAAATTGTTTTAGACGCAACCCATGTCGTCCATACAAAAGAGGTGACGATGTTTCACTCACGTCAATGGGATTAGGGGCCGTCCATAAATGACGTCACGCGATTTTTGACCCTTTCGTCTCAAAAAGTCAGACCCCCCCTCAAATATGACGTCACAAAGCTCTGCCACCCCCCCCCCCAAAATAAAAAATGCTTCAAATCGCTTTAAACTATTGTCGTTGTAGTGCGTATTTAATGTGGCGCTGCACTCTGATGTTGTAGGAGAAAACATTAAAGTCGATTCAATTAAGTAGAACGTGTTGTCTATATTTATTTAATGTTGCGCATTTTGATGTCACGTCACATTTCTCAACCCCACCCCCCCTCATTCACACATCGTCACAAATGTCTGACCCCCCCCCCTCCCGAGATGCGTGACGTCATTTATGGACGGCCCCTTAGTTCATCTCCGGTGGTGAGATGTTATCATCCTCGCATGCTCTGCAGAAGGTCAGGGATGTGATCCCGACCCTGGCGCCAGTCTAGTTGAAGTTCGCATGTTCTCCCCGTGGTCGCGTGGATTTTTTTATTCGGGTCCTCTGCTTTTTTCCCCTCCACACTTAGAAACATGCATTTAGACTATTTAGATTATTTTGCTGCCTTAAATGTTCAAATCATGGGCTACTTTGTTGAGCTATCATTTGAGGCCAGGTCGATTTTGAAAAAGAAGTTTAATACATCAGTGGAATTTTCCTGGTAGGATGGAGATGGTTTAGTTTTATTCGTATGTGGTTGGGTGATTTGTTCACCTTTCTTGTACTTTACACTCCTATTCATGATTTTTATACTGGGTGCCGTTGTCACGACTGACATCTGTGAAAAAGAGTGGATTCCTCCAGTCTAAATACATATCCAGATTCTGAAATAAAGGATACAACTCATTTCATGCCGAGCCAACCTAGGGGGAGGCCCTAACCAGTTCAGATTATCACTCACCACTTACGTTGGCTACGGCCGAGAATCAGACTGCAGTGCGTCTCCTCGCTGATATAAAAAAAAAACAGCGGTGGCTTAACTGGCAAAAAGGTCCCATACATGTAACTGCTCAATCCGATTTATTACACTGGTCAACACACTTTTTCTGGCGTAAGGTATTCCAACGGTTTTAGGGTAATTTTGGGGTGCTGATTCCAAATCTGGCATCAGTTTTTGTCTATCACATCAGGTTTTTGAGATATCAAATATTGCATTTTCAATAAAAAACTGCAAAAGAAAAATATTAAATAGATGTGGATATCTACATAAAATGATATTATAAACACACTATCCTAAAAATACAACACCATATTTTATCACTAAAGCGGTCACTGACTCGCAACAACTTGCAATCATAAGTGACAGAGTTAATTTCGGTTAAATCAATGAAAATGGGGTATGCCGATAGCATACAATGAGATGTGATAGAGCAAATCTGAGATCAGATTTGGAATCAGCACATTGAAATTAGTCTAAAGCAGCTGCAAAAGTCCAGGCCAGAAATTGTTGTTGTTGTTGTTGACCAGTGTTAATATTCTGATACTTTGCATCGCCTTTGTACTGTCCTGTGGTCCTAACACTGGTGGGACGAGGCCATAAAGAAGGCCGTATCTGGTGTAGGCCAATCAGTGCCAAAGACAGTGCGTGGTATTATCAGAGCATGCTTGTTTGCACGATTTGACACAAGTATCTGGGGTTAATGCAGATTCGGCATTTAGTGTTTGAACATCTTAACACCTGTATACTAATAGGGGTTTCCCCTTTTTTCTGGCAACAAAACTGAAACCCTATTAGTATATTTTGGTACTGGCAAAGGAGGTCCCATGATGTAGCTGCTCACCCCGAGCTCTCATTACTCTGGTAGTGCGTTGTCTTTGAACTGTGCGCCTTTTGGCGTCATCTGGTCGAACACCATGAGACGAGGCTCCAAAGAAAGCTGTCTCTGGTGTGGACCAATCAGTTTCGAAGACAATGCATAAATTATCAGAGTATTGTTTTTTGTTTGCATTTGACTGCAAGTATTGTGGTTAATGTAAGCATGATTCCTTGCAAAAGGTGTCCGTTTTGTTGCCAGAAAAAAGGGGGAAAACCCTATTAGTATATTTTGGTATTGGCAAAGGAGGTCCCATGATCTTAACACCTGCTTTATTGGCAGTCGGGGCTGCTGCCATCTGGAGCGTTCCGTCGTCGTTGTGATCTTCAAGCTATGGGTCTCGCAGCATGTTGGCTGTCCCGAGCCAGTGTGTGGTTATCCCCTAAGGCTGTGAAGGCCCGAATAAAAGAAAGTACCTCCTACTAGTGTCTGTGAATTAGCACACTACACGTGTATTCATGTCAACATGAGGGCTTCCCCCACACTGTGTGGATCGTGGGGGATTGTTTTGACCATACTTGACCATGCCGGTCAGTTTTGGTTGGTAAAGGCGGAGGACAGACACGTGAGAATGGAATGGCAGTGCAACAAAGCATGTTGCTGAACGTTGTGCTGCCCATAATGTACACGGGCTAAAACGCCAAGTTAAAGTATTTCTCATGAAATCCATCAGCCGCACAGCCTTCTGGGAGTGCGCTCCCAGAAGGCCGTGCGGCCAATGGGTTCTGTGAGAAATACTGCACCTAAAGGATTGTGTGGAGTAAGAAATACTTTAACTTTTTAACGTGGAGGGACGGATACGTCAAGGAGATAGTCTGCTATTTATGATTTATATTCTATGCAACATTAATGATTACGTCGAGTTATTTACTATCTTAAGCGGGAGTCCTGGGTTTGAACTCTGATCTCGACACGGACAGTTCGGTGCCGATGCAGGTTTTAAACACCCGAGGCGCCTGTAAAAATCCCACCACTTATCGTATATATCTATCCAAATATACCTTTAAGATCGCTGATTTAACAAATCATTCAACTCGTATCTGTCTGACTTTAAACTTTTAAAAAATTACAAGGACAAAGAAGTTTGCAAAATTACGAGTTTAATTGACGTTTTCTGTCTTTTTGCATTCACAAGAAGCAAGAAGAGCAAAGAACGCCACGACATTAAACCACGAACGAGCGACGTTGGCGAAATTCCTTCCAAAGTCCAATCCAAGTTTCCAGCACAGCCACTGCTCCTAGATTCTGGGGGTGCACTCATCAGACAACACATTCCTCCTGCGGAGGGAGCTGGTAGGAACGTTGGGTTGCTCGGTCAATGGCCAGGGTCAACGGCGGCGTGGTGTATTCCACAAATATGCCCGACTGTGAGGGCGGGCACAAGCCGGCTTGAGTCAGTTAAACGTTGAGTTTTATAAGGGCACCACGGGGTGACCAGCCCCTCCCCACCCAGCCCCACCCCTCCCACCCCCCACTCAGCCCCACCCTCCCCACCCTCCCCTCTCCACCCAGCCCCACCCCTCCCATTTTTAGATGCACGACTGACGGACGGACACAATAATCCCCTGTGGGCTGGTGTAACCAGGAGGTTCCTACCAGTATTATCCTACGCAACAATGAGGCTGTCTGGATCGCCGATCCCTAAGAGGAGAGGTGACTTCGCCTGTCGAGTATTTCTCTCCGCGCCGTGTCTCAAATGTCCCTCTCCTCTTTAACGAGGTTTGCTTTGCTGCCTCCGCCCACCTTCGTCAACATCAACTGTGGTGTAAGCAGAATGCTGTGTTTCTTCCACGGCAGTGAACTCGCAAAATAATTTTGCAGCTTTCGCAAAGAGGGGGACCATAATTCAGTGCAGGAGATCGGTGACCTAAAATGGGCACAAGAGATTACCGGCCCGATACTGTTTGCTAAACCTGGGCAAATTTAAAGTTTAGCGATTTCAGATATGGCACTCGGGGTGGAACAATGCATAAATTCATCGGTTTATATCGTTTCTTAAGCTCCCAATATACAGGCATCAAACCGTGTAGGAATAAATATATTTCGGCTCGTATGTGTTGCACGCGATGAGTTCACGTCACCCCTGTAGCCACGAGGGGAGCACCCATTTACCGCAAAGTTAAAATAATTCTTGAAACGAGGCAGAGGGATGTCAATCGTTCAATCCAAAACAAGGAACGAGCGCAACACTTTTGTCAAAAACCACTGCTTGATGAAAGCCTCCCCACGCCGCGTGGGTCGTGGTGCTTATTTGGCCAAACTTCACCACCCTAATCAAGTGACAAACCTATCTTAAAAGCCGTTGACCTCCATTTCACACGGCGCAACTTCCCCGGCTTATCTTCAAGCCGAGACTTTGAATCTCACCTCGCTGCCGCCTGCCTTTCAACCAAAGCCTCCACCGACGTCATCCACCGAGGTGCGAAGCCGGCACAAGCGGCCTAACACTGTTTTCGAACGACGCCGCCGCTACTTTAACCGTCCGCTGTGAAGCAGATGGTGGCCGCGTTTCGTCGTCAACGCGCCCGGCGCGGTGTTAACGGGGGCGGGCGGCTGCAGGGCCCGGACCGTGCGCCTCTCTAAGCAAAACAACAACAGCAGGCAAAGATGCCGCGCCGCTTCTCTGGCCCGGTCACTTGGCGACGATGTCCTCGATGTGGCGCCGCTCCTTGGGGCAGGAGGAGGAGAGCACGAGCGGCTCGGCCTCCGTGATCACGACGTCGTCTTCCACGCGCACGCCCAGGCCCCGAAAGCGTGCGGGCACAGACTCGTCCGCGCGGGGAATGTACAGGCCTAGGCCGGGGGTGGGGGGGGGGCGGGGAGTGGGGGGTGGAACACCGGGGACGTTAGTTAGCCCGACGGCGCTCCGATGTCTTCTTCTTGGTTCTTTCGGTAAAGTCACGTAGAAGGGAAATAATAAAATAATAAAACATTATAAAATAATTCTCACGACGTTTCGGCCACAACGCAAGCAGCCGTCCTCAGGTGAAGACCAGACAGACCTGGTCTTCACCTGAGGACGGCTGCTTGCGTTGTGTCGAAACGTCGTCAGAATTATTTAATTATGTGGCCGAAACGTCGTGAGAATTATTTTATAATGTTTTATTTTTATTCTTTTATTATTTCTCTTCTACGTGACTTTACCGAAAGAACCAAGATGAATCCCTGCAGTCACGAAAGCTTTAAATCGAAAGCGCTCCGATGCTTTTTGGGGTTTTTACTGCACCCGTTTGTCTGGCACGGTGTCTGACGTTTCGCCGCAAGCGCTTGCGAGCTTTTTCCGGAATTGAAATGTCGGACAACGCGCAGTGCAACCCAGCAACGCAATGGAGAGAGCTATGGAGCAGACACTGCACAAAATAATAACCTGCATATGTTTGTGTCGTAGTGTAGCAGTTAGAGTATTGCACTACGAACCCGGAGAATGCCGTGAACCTGGTTCAATTCCCCACTGACCAGACCCGACTCTCCCCTAGGTTAACCCGGCCTTAAATGAGTACTCGGTGTGGCACGGTGAAGACAGAGGCGGCCCCTCGTGCGCTGTGATGGCCTTTGTGGGAGCTCACTTACAGCACTTGCCCCAACAGCCTGTTAAAGGCTACACAGGGGATATCTGCCTTTGTCGGGGAGAGTTGGAGGAGGGACTTGCCAGGTTCGATGGTGATGGCCATGCCAGGCTGCAGGGCGATGCTGCGCGACACGTCCGGAGTATCGTGCACGTCCATGCCCAGGTAGTGGCCTACGTGGTGCGGGCAGTACTGCCGTGCCGCCTGTAAATACACACGCTCACGCTCGGGTGGTGCTCTCGATTTTTCTGAAGAATCTGAAAATCAGACGATCCAAAAAAAGTCTACATGACCCAGACAACGCAGCCTTGCCTGCTGGAGGAGCTCACCGATGGGACTTTGTCCAGATATTTCAAGAATATGTGAGCTCCTCACACAATCCAGTCTGGTTAAACCCAGGATGGATCGTAGGAAGGCCAGCCTAAATGTTTCTAACCGGCGAAGATGTTCCATTAGGGGGGGTCCACGTTTCGCAAGCATAGAGAAGGGAGGGAATAACCGTGGCCGAGAAGACCTGAAGCTTCATGTGGAGCGACAGACCAGGTAGCTTCCACACAGCGTTATGCAGCTGATGAAAAGATAATTCCGCTCGACTGATTCGGTGTGAGACCTCTGCTGTCAAACCGAAGCTGGTTCATGAGCATGCTGCCCAGGTATGGGAAACTCTCCACTATCTCCACAACTGCCCTATCACCAATTTGGAGTTGTGGGAGTGGAGTGTCCGCCGATGGTACAAAATACCCAGGCAGGTGGTTAGTTTTGGTAGGGATGATGGTAAGTCCCCACCTCTTCGTGGCAAGCTCCAGGTTCAGCAGCAGCACCTCTAACTCCTCCTCTTGAGTGAGCAGCAATTACCAGATCATCGGCATACATAACATGGTTGAGCAATAGGCAGCCATCCCTTGACCGAACCCGGGCATCGATCAGCCTCCCACTGTATCTGTAACAGATGGAAATTCCTCCGGTACAGCTATTGAAGGCTTCCCGAACTACATGGTCGAAATAGATGTTAAATAATGCGGGAGCCAGAGGACATCCCTGTCGCACCCCAAAGTGAACAGGGAATGGTTCCGACTCCTGGCCACGTAGTTTTACTCGGGCCCGCTCACCATCATGAAGGTCCTTAATGATCGTGAGCAGCGGGTCAGGGACTCCAAAAGCACGAAGAACAACCCATAGCCCAGGCCTAATGATGGTATCCTAGGCCTTGACCAGGTCAATAAAGCAGAGATGTAGATCTTGTTGGAATTCCCTACACCTCTGCTGTAGCAGACGAACAGAAAATATGGCATCTGTGCAGGACCGCCCTTTCCTGAAACCGCATTGGGGCTCCGCAAGCCTCTGCTCAGCGTGCCTGGCAAGGCGATGTTGAATAATCCTTGCCAGGACCTTTCCCGGCACACTGAGGAGTGAAATGCCCCTGTAGTTGTTACAGTCTGTGCTGCCACCCTTCTTATGTACACACACACACAAGCCACTGGGCTCAAACCTCCGCGATAACCGCCGGGCAACGTCGGCGACTGTAACCAGCGCCGCGATGATCCACGGCGACTGCTGTGCGGTGAAGAGGACGGCGTGGAGTCATAGACGGTTAATACGCCATCCGCAGCAGTAACCGGGGCGGCCTGTCAGATCAGCACCGTGAACCCCCTGCGCGACGAGCGGCGGCGCTTGCCTTGGCGGCGGCGCCGGGGGCGAGGCCGCCGTCGAGGATGCCGAGTCCCTGGAGCCGTTGGCCGAGCTGGAGCAGCATGAGGGAGTAGAGGCCCTCCATGGTGGAGCCCGCACGGCACCCACGCAGGCACAGCTTCTGCACGTCCAGGACGGCCTCGTACAACTCCGCTTGGGGTCCCGAGAAGCTGGTGGGGAGAGGGGGGGGGGGTGCAAAAACGAGCAGCCGGGTAACTGAGGCATCGATTGGCAATAGATTCTCAATCTCAGGACAACGCATCGCACGTATCATTTGTGGGTGCTTTTTATTTATTTTGTATTTATTCCCCTCCGTTAAGCCCTCGGGTTTTTGCTTGCAAAGTTTCCGTTGCCCCCTTCCTGGACTGTGACCGGTGCTTTGTACTGGGCTCTTGGTGAGTCGCAATTAAAAACTAAAATTGGCAAATTTGGACCATGAAGCTGACACACAATGGCCGACTCGTTTCAAATGCCGCAAGCGGATCATTAATGTTCACTGCAACGCAGTCAGGGCGTACATTTTACGTATAATACACCCCCAGTGATAATCATATGCATTACACATTCTATGCAAGTGATACGCTCTTACAGCTAGGCTAATGACGCAATTTAGAACGCGTGAGACGGAAAAACAAGAAGCAATATAAACGAGCTGGTAAAAAACGAGAAACACAATTGATTCTTAAATATTTTTTTTTACATTCCACAGAATCACTGGTGGGGGTTTGGCGGGGGGGGTGTTGCTTGTAAGAGCACTGCTGCTGCTGCTGCTGCTGGTGTGAACGCTGCTGCGTCGTACCAGCCCGACACGGGCCAGGTGCGGGTGACGTCACTCGCGTAGCCGTGAAGCTCACAGCCTCCATCCAGCAGCACCATCTCTCCATCCTGCACAGCGTCACGCAAAGACAAAGATCCCCCGTCTCACCTCAACGCCTCCGGTGGGCTAAAGAAGTGAATGATTCTGTCCTTTTAAAAACGTGACACGTTTTTTACTGTTTGGCCATGTCGGCTTGGTGGAGGATTACGACATAATTATAAAAAACGCGATCTGACCCAAAAATCTATATAATGAATAATATTGGTCGCGAAAGCCTACTTGTTAAACTCAAAACCTCCGATTAGCATGATTGGCTACATAAGGCACGAAAGAAGTTCAACAGACATTCATAACAGGCTGTCGGGGGAAGTGCTGTTAGCAAGCACCTATCAAGGAGGGCACGGCACACGAGGGGGTGGGTAGTCAGCAACACGCCTGACCGCCTTTGTCTCCTCGGTAGCGATTTATACACATCGCACCAGGTACCTATTTGAGGTTGAATCGACCTAGGGGAGACCCAGGACCGATTCAGATATTTGTCGCCGATGTTGTGTGTGAACATGAATCGAACTCGGGTCGCCGGGTTCGTAGTGCAGCGCACTAACCGTTACACTACTGCTTCCCATCACACACACGCACACGTGCCTATTTGCGAGTGTGCATGTGGGTGCCTGTCGGGTGTGCATTCACCTGTATGATCTGGTTGTTCTTCACGTAGTGCAGGATGTTGGCGCGGTTCCCTCCAGCCACCACGGGGGGGTACGCGAGGATCTCAGCTCCAAGGGCTCGGCACTCAAACTCAAACTGCACCGTGCACGCGCAACGCAACACAACACAACGGCGCTGAAACGATTCATCCTGAATCGAGCGAATCCATGCTCATGATTCGGGATAGTGATTTTATTCTATAAGCGATTCTTATTTGTCTCCTGTCGACTATCTCGACGAATCAGATAACACTGGCAAACAGTGGCACTAATTTTCCCAAATTATTGTGTTATATCAAGATTAGTCAAGTGAATGGATCGATAATCGGCAGAGTAATTGATTACTTCAACAAACTGCACTACTGTCATTGTTTTTCTTTAGTATCATTTTGTAATTTTTGTCTGGGTTATTCGGCTAAATTTTACATGAGCATTCAGCATATAGATTGCACAAAATCACATTTAACTGAATGTCACGGGCATAATTGGATTTATGTATCGTAAGGGTTAATAGATCATTGATGCCTCGTTGCATGCGAACTAATCATGGCAGGTCATTTCTCATTTCTTTTTTTATGACCAAGTGTTTCTGCTGTCGAAAGCTGGGATGATGAGCCCATTAAGTCCATTAATCGATCAGAAATATGAAGGAGGTCGTGGGTTCGATCCCGACCCTGACGCCTGTATATCTGGAATTTGCGTGTTCTCCCCGTGGTTGCGTGGATTTTGCTCCGGGTCCTCCAGTTTTTCCCTCCACATTTAGAAACGTGAGTTTAGAATATTTGGCTGCTGCTTTAATTTGCCACGTGATAAGCCACTTCATTGGGCTATCATTTGTGGCCAGGTCGCTTCTGAAAAAGACCTGTAAGCCCAGTGGACCTTACTTGGTAAATAATTTAGTTCATAGTTTGTAGTTCTGACACTCTCTGTGAACGATGAGGAAGGCATCGGAGCACCTTGGCGTAGAGGAATGCCTCGTCCACAGGCGGGGAGCTCGCTCGCATCGTCTCCACCATCGCCTGCAGCACCGCACCATGGGGCCACAGAGTCAACTCAGTCACTCGTAGGGTTATTTACTCACATAGTCAGTCACTAGCCCACTCACTCACTCTTCATAGTACCACTCACACTCACTGGGACGGGTCACGCACTCGCTCACTCACTGGGTCACTCACTCCGTAGCGTCATCCACTCACTCACTGGGTCTATGTCTCACAGGGTGACTCCATTCACTCACGGGGTCACTCAATTGCTCTCGTGCACCTGTTACAAGGTTCCTCACGCACACTGGGTCTCTCACTCAACGCGTCAAACACTCACTCACTGGGTCACTCAATCACCCACACCGATACTCACTCACTAGCCCCCTCGCTTACCGTCACAGCTCACACCCCGCCCTCACCTGCGCCGTGATCTCCGCAGCAGCCTTCATGACGCGCACCTCCGCCTGCGACTTGACGAGGCGCAGCGCGGCCACGTGTTTACGCAGCGAGCGAACGCGGCCCTGCGCCGCCGCTGTCGCCAGCATTGGCCCCACGTGCCGCTCGTGCATCTCCGGGTGCGGGGGGTCCCCGTGCGGGTAGTACCACCACGTGGGGGGTTCGCCGGCATGCGCCAACACGCGTGACAACTCCTGCAACGGGAAGGCCTCGTCCACGCCCGTGAGGGCCACCGCACCGTCCGGGCCTGAGCGCGGCCCGTCCCAAAGCTCCCGCGTCGCGTCGCGCGGAGGCACCAGCAGCACGGCCTTGTGGGTAGCCGCAGTCGCCCCACCTAGGCAAAAGTGTTTTGGTTTTGATCGCTTGCTCGCGTGATTCACTCTCTCGTGCAGCTGCTCCATAGATTGTTTTAAAATGACTCTCGGAGGGGTTGATGAAAGAAGCATGTCAAAAAACAAATGTCGCTCATTGAATGAACATAGGCAGTGTGTTTTGAGTTTTGTGAAATATCACAATCCTTTAACGTTCTGGAGCGCTGCATGTGCGCCATCTAGTGACGTCAAGGGGTATAACTGCTGCACCTTTACCGTAGGGAAGACTTGATGCTCCAGAATGTCTACATTAAAACGCGCAGTGCATGATGGGAGTCAGGACTGCAAAGAGCTACGTCACAGCACACAATGCATTATGGGAGTTGGGCAGGTGAAGACACAGTCAGCCAGCATTCACCGGGTAACTTCAAAAGCAGTATCGCGGCACTCGATCCAGGAGCTGCCATCTCAAGTGAATGAATTGGCAGCTGCTATCTGTGAATAAGTAGAATGAATTCACAGGAGAAGACTTCAACTCCGGCACTGCTATTAATTGATGCTGTTTTGCTATAAAACAGCACCCAATTGTTTTTAATGTCGTGCTTTGCTCGAGCGAAAGGCTGAAAGTGACCGCGCACGCCGAGGATTGAGGCACCTCGTCTGGGCAGCAGCAGCAGCAAGCTGTCGGGTTCCTGGAAGCCGGTAAGGTACAGCAGGTCGCTGTGCTGGTGGAAGGGGTAGGGGATGTCGTTGGTCATGATGCACGTCGGGTTGGAAGGCACCAGGACGACGCTGCCTGGCGACTCCGCCTGCACTGCTGCCATCAGCCGGTGCCGCCGCAGAGCAAACTCCTCGCGCGTGAACCCTGGCATCACCTCCCCTGCAAGCGTTAACCGTCGCCGCCAGTGTGAGCGGTAGCACAATATGCACATGGTACAATACGAGCAGAAGAAGGAATTACAATGTCTGTTGAAAAAGTTAGAGTCATTAATTGATTTTGTCTGTAACATTTCAACTACAGTACAAGTCTCTATCTAATGTGGGTTCCCCTTCAAAGTACGGGCCCAGAAAAATCTCCATGGCTGGATTTAGAGCCCTTCTGAGTTTACCCTGGGGTGCGACAGTGATGTCCTATGATCCGAGGATTATTAAGTATATTTTTTTAATGTGTGTATGTACAGGTGTCTGCATTTTGTGCATGCCTGTGCATATATGGTACCCGGTTAGAGGAGATGAGGGTGTGTATGTATGTGTGCGTATGCGCAGGTGAGGGATTGGTACCCGGCTGCAGTAGATGAGGGTGCGTGTGAGGTGCCGGCTGACCCAGGTACCGTCCCCTCAGCTGTGGGCTGGAGGCTCCCTCAGGCTGTCCGCTCGTCACGCTCCGACAGAACCACCGCGTCTGCGGAAGCCAGGCCCTCAGATTCCGCACTGCATCTGTAACCGAACGTGGCGGCCAGCAGCGATTCGTCAGGCTCAGGCAGACAGGGGGCTATGCAACAATACATAAAGTAGAGCTCCCGGAAGTATGTACGGGTTGCACTGCGTGTTGCACCGCAGGATGTCCAACGTTTTGCTCCGTGTGCTGGGAATTCAGTTCCTGAGATTTGGTGTCAGTTGGTTAGCTGCTCCTGCACATTGTCTTATGATGCTCCACACCTTACTGATAAAGACTTGATAAAGTAACACCCACTCTCGATACGCCATTACATATTGGTATAATGATTAAACTCTTTGGTTCTTTCGGTAAAGTCATGTAGGTATAAAATAAAATAAATCGCGACGTTTCGGGCGCAACACAAGCGTCCCACCTGATGACGGATGCTTGTGTTGCGCCCGAAACGTCGTGATTTATTTTATTTATACCTACGTGACTTTACCCCGAAAGAACCAAAGAGTATGGATTCCTGCAGTCACGAAAGCTTCAAATCAAGATATAATGATTATTATATTTGTTCCATTGTAAATGTATTTCACAATTGTATTTGTTCGTGCTTTCTTTGCTGCACTTCTAGTACGAAGATTACTGAAGTTATGCAACTGCAGTCCACACCACCAGCCTGACCTCAAGTCTTTTCATCGTTGCAAATTTACAGTCTACAACGCTTATAGGTGGCAGGATTGGGCGCTGCGGTGGAGAGGTGTTAACTACCCCCCCTGGTTTACTGGAGGTCGTGGGTTTGATCCCGATCCCGACCCTGACATCGACAAGCTGACAAATGATCAGCAGATGACACGAAGCAACATCACTCCTCCAGAGAAAAGTTTGGCAGGACACGCCACAAAAAGTTTTAAGACTCAATGTACTGTAGCTTTCTTGGGTAAAGTGTAAAAAGGCAGATGTCAGTTACACAATAATTGCTTAATACGGTAAATTAATTAGCTGCTAAAACGATTACATCATATAAATCACCGTGACGTCAATTACTCTGGAAAGATTTACAAACCACCAGTCTTGTAAATGCGTGCAGATGCGCAGCCCTGCAATTGCTCGCTCATGTCACTGGCTGGCAGTAGGGCCTACAACATAAATCCATCTAAAAAGGTAATTTAGGCGCCCCTTTTTATTGTTGACTAGACTCCTTAAAGATGTAAATGAATCCCAAGTTCAATTGTGAACAATATTATTTCATTGTCATAAAATATTAGAGGCCGTCCATAAATGACGTCACGCACCTGGGGGGGGGGGGTCAGACATTTGTGACGATGTGTGACAAGGGGGGGGGTTTGAAAAATGTGACGTCACATCAAAATGCGCAACTTTAAATAAATATAGACAACACGTTCTACTTAATAAAATTGACTTTTTAAATAAATATTTTATCCTACAAAATCAGAGTGCAACGCCACATTAAATACGCACTACAATGACAATAGTTTAAAGCGATTTGCAGCATATTTCATTTTGGGGGAGGGGGGCAGAGCTTTGTGACGTCATATTTGAGGAGGGGGGGGTCTGACTTTTTGTGACGCCGCGTGACAAAGAGGGGGGGGGGGGTCAAAAATTGTCCAAAATCGCGTGACGTCATTTATGGACGGCACCTTAAAAAACAGACCAAATATATATTTTTTAAACGGATTGTAGAGAATACAAATACAACACAACAAGCGAACGCCGCTCCTTCCCATATCTGTCCCCTCCGCATTAAAAACAAAAAGGTACATATTTTCTACACATATTCTTAGGTTTTTTCGGTAAAGTCACGTAGGTAAAAAACTAATAAAAGTTAAATAAAAATCACGACGTTTCGGAGGCAACACAAGCCTCCGTCTTCAGGTGAAACCGTCACAGCTACGACAGCTGTATCAAGTGTGTTGCCTCCGAAACGTCGTGATTTTTATTTAATTTTACTTTCATTAATTAATTTTTTTTACCTACGTAACTTTACCGAAAAAACCCTAAAAATATGAATCCTTGCAGTCACGAAAGCTTCCAATCTAGAATTTTCCACACATCCCATCAGGCACCACGCGCGCACGTGCGCCGACGCACGTGCCGGGCTTGTTGACATCCGGGTCACGGGGTCACGGCTCGTCAACTCAACGGGGTCACGACCCTCACCCACCGTTGGCGCGGCGCGCGCTCAGCGCGGCCCGGCACGGGAAGACGGGCGCCATGGCGCGCTTGGCGGCGAGTTGACAGTGCGACGATGCAGCAACGACGACGAAAAGTGTTTGGGAGAGGGGACCCCCCCCCCACACAAGGCGGAACGAGGAGAAAACCGCGAGATGGGGGGGCGAGAGAGGTAGAGGAAGAGCAGCCCGGTACCGGTCACGTGACGCGAGCCCGGCCCCTCGGGGTCATGACCTTCACGTGCCCCGCCCACCGACAACTTAAGCTCCGCCCAGCTTCCCCCCCACCCACCCACCGCTGTAAGCCCCTCCCCCCCGCCACGCCCACAAGCAAGTTCAAGTTCAAGTTCATTTATTAGGTATAGCCCTGTGAGCCATTCAGCTCTTGAATCGGGTGCAACCGCAACAAACAAAAAACAAAAACATGAACAAAAAAACATCTTAAAGTGAATATGTGACTAAGTGCAAACAGAAAATCCAAGAAAAGACAGCAAAAAATATTTCAGAAAAAACACCGTACACCAACGCTGTGTGCAAAAATCCCAGTGGGATGCAAGTCAAACAACAACAACAACCACAAGACAACTTAGATTAAGGCCATCAGTCTAACTCTGTACTACAACAACACAAACATGGCTAAACCAATACACTTTTCGAAATCACCAAAATAAAGCCATGAAGGCAATGAAAAAGCAATCATAGGAACTGACGGAATTTTCACAATAAATGGCATAAACAACATGTACTACCAAAACCCTGCAGCCATAGCTGGCTGCATGAGTCACTCCACAACAGCAGGAGCATCAATCGGAGTATTGTAATTTTTCAATGCACCTTTAAGATCAGCACACTAAATCAAAACACAGGTCATACTTTGTAGCGATCATCCGGAGCGAAACATTTTATTTTAGGTCACTGAATAGCACTGGCAGCTAGGGGTGTACAACTCCTCTAAAGCAGTTTTGAGTGAAGATCTCATAGGTAGTGACTCAAGTTTCAATTTATTTGCAACAGCATTCCAGACCCTGGGGGCATCAATAGCAAAGGCCCTTCCTCCAGTATATGTACGGCAATAGGGAATATTAAGCTGGTAAATGAGTGTAGACCTTAGGTCAAATTTGTTCTTTGAAACAGAGACGAGATCCAGCAGGTAATCTGCAGATTTTTTTGCAAGTACATCATGAATAAATAAGATCTGGTGCACAAGCCGTCGAACATTCAGAGATGTTAAGTTTAAGCATTAAAAGGTTGCCACCCATCATGGGACCTCCTTTGCCAGTACCAAAATATACTAATAGGGGTTTTCCCACTTTTTTTGGCAACAAAACTGACACCTTTTGCAAGGAATCATGCTTACATTAACCACAATACTTGCAGTCAAATGCAAACAAACAAAAAAAGAAAGCTGTCTCTGGTGTGGACCAATCAGTTTCAAAGACAATGCATAAATTATCAGAGTATTTTTCGATTTAAAGCTCCAAGCACCGTGTGCTGTTTCATTCAGACGCTGTCGCCTCGACAGACCTGGTTTCACCTGAGGACGGCTGCTTGCGTTGTGGCCGAAACGTCGTGAGAATTATTTTATTGTTTTATTTTTATTATTTTATTACTTCCCTTCTACGTGACTTTATCGAAATAACCAAGAAGATGTATCAGAGTATTGTTTTTTGTTTGCATTTGACTGCAAGTATTGTGGTAAATGTAAGCATGGTTCCTTGCAAAAGGTGTCAGTTTTGTTGCCAGAAAAAAGGGGAAAACCCCTATTAGTATAGGTTCCCACCCCTTGGTGTAGATACGCCCCTTGTGTGATCACACCCACACTTCTCCACAACCCCCCCCCCCCCTATTCTGGGGATAGGGTAAGCCTCTCCTTCACCTGCTCGGGTTCCCACCTCTGTGGTACAAAATACGGGACACGTCATGCAGCCTTGGGCACCCCCCTTTGGTTCTCAATCGTAAAAAAAAATGTTGATAAATACATAGCTTTGATTAATTTGTATTTCGATGATTTACCTTCTAAAATCATCTGGCCATGTCCCTCTCCACCCTCACAGTTGGGGCATCTCGCAGCCTCAGGTGAAGAACCACTGGTGTAAATTCACTGAGTGTTGTGTGACAGTCGTACGCGATTGACAAAAGCTGGGGCCTTTTAATGCCCTGGAAAGTCTTACGGATCTCCAAGGATAACCATCTGAAAAGGACGAACCTGGGTAAACCAGAGCAGGTGGCAACCCGAGCCCCCGTCCATGCTCGGTGAATGCTTGGCATGGATGGACTGGAACACTTTTCCCTTCGAGGGCCAGAGGAATTCAAGGTACCTGTCCCATCAACCACACATTCACGCACACCTCGGTGACTTGTGTCACTGGACGAGGCCCTTGCAATGACAAACGTGACTGCACTTCAGTTAGAAGCATAGAATTGCCACTTTGAAAATGTTCCCCCCTCCGGAACCCAATTAAGAGTGGTGAGGATGCTTACAGTGACGGATCAAGGTCTTCGGAGCCGTATCGCAGTGGTTGGTCTCATGTGGCCACGGTCCATGTCAAATTAAGGCACAGGTCACATCTGACCTACACGTGTAAAGGAGCCCAGTGGGTGGAAGATGGGTCTCCTGGCTGCAGCAGCAGCTTGGACGTTGCCGAGGCGATATGGGGAGCTGAGACCCTTGAGTTTGTGTCTCATGGTAGACGCTACCACAAATCGTCTTGGCGTGAACTCCCTCCCCCCGACACGACTTGGTTATAAGATTGATACTGGTAGGAACCTCCTGGTTACACCAGCCCACAGGGGATTATTGTGTCCATCCATCGTGCATCCAAAAATGAGAAGGGTGGGGCTGGGTGGGGAGGGGCTGGTCACCCCGTGGTGTCCTTATAAAACTCAACGTTTAACCTACTCAAGCCGGCTAGTGCCCACCCTGTCAGCCATATTTGCGGAATACACCACGCCGCCGTTGACCCTGGCCATTGACCGAGCAACCCAACGTTCCTACCAGCTCCCTCCGCAGGAATGTGTTTTTTGGATTGTGTTTAAGTGAACAGCGGTGCATTTTTTTTATGAAAGCCACATCAACACGAATCATGAAGGGTGGCCATGTGGCTTAGAGATCAAGAGCACCCGAGTCGGCGCTGCTAAGATTCTGGTTTCAAATCTGGGCAATCTTCCGTCATTTAACCTAAGTTTTCAAGCGTTGTCGATTGTCCCAGTCTGGTCACCCATGATCTAAAAAAAATCCTCACAAATGTTGGTTTCACACCAAACTTAAATTGCATATCTTAGAATACAAAATAACGGCTTGAGACAATTCCCCCTCTACTATTCATGGCAATGGAATTTTTTTTTATTCTTCCAGTACAAAAAAAATGGCTTCTACAGGCAGCCCAAAATCTATTTTCAATGAAGCCCGTTTTAATTGGCTTGACGCATCATTGTATGCACTTCCTTCCAAAGTTGTCGCTTTTACGCAAAGTAAATTGGTTGTCGACGTCAACTGCGCACAAATGTACCCTGGTTCATCACAGCCAGCCTCAATGCAGTCCTGGTGCCACCAAGTGGTGGGTGCCCCAGCAGAAGCACCAGACAGCACAACAAGAACAACAAGCTGCAGGCTGCGAAGATGACCAGCCAGATGTGCCAGTGTGTACATCGCTTAGTTTCAACATTACATATTGCAGTGAAAAAGAGACTGCGCGCCACTGGAACTTTGCTGCACTGGTTCGGCACAACCCTTGCGTGGCTGTGGAACGAACATTGGATGATACCGCATGCAGTCACAATTGAGTTTGGCCATAACGTGTGCGTTCCGTGCATGTCGGGGCGGCCTGTTCCTTGCGGTCAGCTTGTACAAATGTATTGAAACAGCTGGCATTTGGCAAGGTGCCCCATCTCCCCCCCCCCCCCCCCACAGAAACGTGCTTCGAAATGGTACGAGTCGTGGCCACAGCCCGTGTAAAATGAAATCGCAGGCTGGATGCATCACCACTGCATTAACGCAAAAATTGTCACGATGATGTATACGTCTTTTCAACTCCATTATATACCATTACATCGATTTAACTTTTTTCACACCGTACATATCCAATCGTGCTCATCAGGAGGTGCAGGGGGAAGGACAAACTAAACGCAAAACAGTTCTAAATAAAGTTTTATATCTAGAATTTAAAGTGCGTCAACTCCAGTGACTTCCTAAGATTGGAAGAGCGCTCAAGACGGCTGCATAAATGGATCTGAAAGCACATGATGCAGTGACTCTTTGTTTGATGGTTAGCCAAAAGCTGTTGGACGACTTGGGTTCATGTCACAGTTTGCACTCCTTTGACGAGATTTGTAAAGTATTGTTTCTGGCAAGCGCTGTGCTGTTGTTTTTATCAACAGGCTGGGTGCGATTAAGACATTTGATTGTGTATTTTCCATTCGTTCGACAAAAACGGAGCAATCGGCCAAGCTCAAAAAACCTTCAATATACTAGTCATCCATTGTCTTGCGGCATATACTAGTTTGATGTGCTTTAGTCAAAGTGACGTACGAATACTGGCAAATGTGAAAAAATATATCGGCAAAGAATAATTTAAGTTACATTTATTGGTCAATGGTGGAATTTAAACATCATATTGATAACAATACTGCACTAAAACAGCATTTCACAAAGCAACCTACAAACGCATGAGGGAGCAAGGGGTGGAGTTTGCAGCTTTTACACACACACAGCCTATCACAGCAACAAGCGTCACAGACCAAAACTCCGCTAATGACACTATGCGTCACCCACTTAACACTCAAACCTACGGGAGCACGGAACAACGTAGGGAGCAGACATATGCACAGAAGAGGCAATTGCGCCAATCGATTAATTCAAAGGAGGGGTGCTGGGTGGGTGCGAGGGAGGTTTGGTGATGCATTGTGGGATGCTTGTGTAAGTTTACGACAACGTGCATTGTTTTTATAACCACCAAGAAGAGAAAAAGTGGTTGTGTCAGATGCAAGCCCTCTCCTGCTCAGAGCTTTAGGTGTAAATGCTGAAAATGCATTGCCTACAAAGATACATCTTGCTCCTCGGATTTAATAGATTTTATATATGACATTTTGAAAGTCGCTGAGCACATTGAATTAATTGATTGGCAAGATAGGTAACATTGATGGCTTAAGTTATTCTGTACTTCACTTAACACCCGTCAGTGGTGGCATAAAGGGGATAAACATGAACGGTGCGCAAAGGAGATGTGGGGAGAATTGGCCAAACACACAAAAAACGGCAGCAAAATCATAGCGATCCTTTTTTCGTTATATATTCGTTTCTTTTTTGTACAGAATCTTAACATGTTACCACAATCAATTTAAATATTACTTTCATTTTTCTTTTACAACCTTAAAAGTACATGAAGAAATAAGCAACATAACGGTCATTATTTCCACGTAATTACAAAACAACCCACCGAAAGTGTTGCACAAAGTTTACGGTAAATCGGGTGAAGATTTCTTAAAATCATTCCAACGCGCAGCACCGTTCCAAGACCTCACCAAAGCTGGACGACGCTCACATCTCGGAACAGAACAAATGTCCATGAAAACGGACCAACCTCACACACAGATCACGTGTTTCAGAAGTGGCAAAGAGCATACTGATGTTACCTCAAAGTCGTGATCCTACAAATCGCCGCAATTTAGATGTATCGCTATGGGTGGAATCTCTGTACAACACGTGTATATAGTAACATGGCGGCAGCTTCAGCGGCAGGGCTTGGGGGTTTAACGGGACGCACCGAGTGGTACCGTGGGGACAAAGGGGGATGTTTGTCAATACGTGACCTTTAAAAAGAAAAAAAAGACAACGAAGCCGTTTCTCGCTGCACACCTCGAGAGCTGCGCCGGGAGACATGCAAAATGAAGCACCGCCCCCTTTAATGTGTAATTATCTTTAACGACACAAGCACACAGCCTCTCCCCGCTCCTTCCGCACCATCTCCCCTTCCTTTACTTCACCCCCCCCCAACCCCCCCGGTGCCAATACGTTCCCGTTAACCGAATCCCACCCCCCCGCAAGGGGTGCAGCGTTGCGCGCTCGGGCGAGCTGCGTTTTTACTTTGTGGAAAGGATGAGGGCCACGATGAGACCGTAGAGACCCAGCACTTCGGCAAAAATGAGGATGAGGATCATGCCGACAAAGAGTCGCGGCTGCTGGGCCGTGCCACGCACACCCGCGTCGCCAACGATGCCGATGGCGAAGCCGGCCGCCAGCCCGCTCAGCCCCACGCTCAACCCCGCGCCCAGGTGCATGAAGCTCCTGCAGAGTGGCACACCAAGGGTGAAAGGAGGAACACGGGCAACATAGGTCAGCACAGTGATGCTCAGGGCACAGGGTCAAGCACATGGGAGACACGTTACCACTCAATAGTTATACCCCGCCACCCATCGGAGGCACCAAGTGGCAGGGACCCCCCCCCTCCCACACCCCCTTGGAGTCGATGTGGAGGTGCTCAGTGGAGTTTTTACATCACGACTCCAGGAGATATGGCAGCAGCTTTGGGAGACCTTCAACCAGCAGTGGATTGATGACCGATGATGAATCAATTAATATCAAATACTCATGATCACAATGCACAAAATTGCATAAGAATCAGACATTTTTAATTTGCACTGGTCCACACGACTCCACCAGCCTAAGAGTGCTGCATTCACCACAATGAAAAAGGATTTTAACATTTAATTTATGACCAAATTGTGAAAATTCGTCCAATCAAGGAATGCGAATCACTTCGAGCATAATTGCCGACCAGTGACCGGAGCACCTCTAGCAAAAATGTTTCTCTACACCCAAAGTGTTATTTTATTTGAACGTGGTGACAAGACTTGACGGTTTACCCACAGCACACCATGACAATAATGAATTTGTAGGATAGGCCGTTTGTTGTTTTCAGGAGCCGAAGAGATGCCTTGAAGACACTTCAGCTTGAAGTGTGGCAATCGGCACTAACGAAAACCATTGATCCTTAACAATGCCAACTCAACGCCCTGATTGAGGTGACCGACTGGCGAATGAGCCACCATTTGAAGCCTTCATCCAAAATCGGGTGAATGTGATAAGATGGAGCAAGGCAAGAATCACTCTTCACCACGTACTGCACCACCCTCTACTCTAATTTACGTCCAATGGAAATCATGTTCTCGGGTGACAGAATGGCAGATCAATACACCTTTCACGGGCCACAGATTCATTGATTTTTACTACATCTACTCCACTGTAGGTGATACAATGCCCAGGTCTGCAAGGAGCCACCTCAATGTTCTATTATCCCATCTTAAAAAAAAAATCATTTCGAGCAGACAAGAACAATCCTTGTCAGTCTTGTGTCAGGTGGCTCACGAATTTTTCTGGAGCTCAATGCAATGGATAAATTTAGCGTCGATCCATCTCTGGGTTTCAATAATTTTCGGCATGCCGAACCACAACTATAAATGGATGACATGGCATTTATCACTTCCATGCAATCAAATTATGGGATTGGCCGAAATGCCCTTCATATCTGTTTATGCACTGGAGGGGAAAACCAATCAGCATGCTGCCATTGAGAAAGATTCATGATTTAATCTTTACGAACACTTTTGAACGCCGCACGATCATCTTTTGTATTTAGTAAAGGTCTGGCAAACACTTCCAGTGCACGGCGCATGTCAATAGTAAGTCAACCTTCACTCTGGGGGCAAGTCGTTTTTCTCTGTCATCCCATCCGTTTAACTCCTTCCCTCCAGCCATATGCGTCCTCGACTCCCTGTCCAAGATTAGGCTCAAGACTTTCACTCTTCTCCTCCGCCCTATGACTGCTGCCGCTTTTTCAAAATATTAATATCCGCTCCCCACATTTGCTCCCCTTGGTTTTGTAAATGACCTTGAGAACGCGGTTGTATTTTGACGCTCGACAATTCAACGTCGCACTGTACAAATTTTAATTGTACGGCGCATCGGGATCCTTGGATTAATTGCGCCTTACAAATGCAAATCATTATTGCAAGATCAAAACTAGTTGCGTAGTGCCCGGCACCATCGTGTGCTCCTGTTCTGTGATGTTTTTTTTTAATATTATTAATACCGAATACATCAAATGCCCCATTATTTCAGGTTCTATAAAAAAAAAAAAAATTAAGAGCATTTGCATATATTTCCCGAGAACCGAATGTTATACAGACCGTTAAAAATATATTTAAATATTGTGGTCCTATATCATCCTGTGCAAATGTGTTTGTAAAGCGGAAGTTTCCCCATTTGTGATGCTATTCTTTTTAGAAGAAATGAAAGTGGAACTGATCAATGTCAAGCAGAAACTATAACTTCCAGCACCGTCCAGGATCTGTAAAGCATAATGCAATGAATGTAGTGGACAGTGGAATTTGTCCAAACCCCCTCTGCCTCCCGCAAGAGTTCCATTTACACACCCCGTTTCTTCCCACACAAACACCTCAAAGGACCTGGCGGCCTATTGGGGAATGGGAAAAAATTAAGTTTGAGGATTGGGTTTACAATTGCTTGTAATATAAAACCTACAATGGAAATGTGTGCACTCTATTTGAGGTGCTATGGGTCAACCCTATTACCGGTGTTTATAAGAGCAAGCAGTTGTGCGTATGTTACAAATAATAAGACTGCCACCACTTATGGTCTGTTAAAGGCTTATGTAACAGCAATAAACAGCACTGACAAAAATATGTTATGCCAAATGAACCTGGGCCACAGATAATATGCAGAAGGGAAATGGGTAAAAGGTTGAGGAATTTCAGTTTCAGCATTAAAAAAAATTAACCCGTAAAAACAAAGTTTTTCACTATAAATCCTTTATATACGTGGCATCGGTTTTATTTTATTATTCATTTCTGTTTTTCTTGAGTAAGAGTTTCATTTTTATCACATTGGTATTTTAAATTAAATATGAAAAGAAAAATTTCCTAAAAAGTGGAACATTTTTGAAAATTTCACGAAAATAAATTGTCACGCACGAGTCTGTGTGCAAAATGTCAGCTCGATTGGATCACGTGAAGTGGGTTAAAAAACGACCGAAAGATTTGCACGGTCGTAAGCGCGCAAGCAAGCAAGCGAACTTAATATAAAGGATTTAACTATGAAATGCCGAGTGGTATAATGGTTGGCACAATGTAGTTGCTACGATGCAGCTCACCGATTCCATCTGATCTTTCGGTACCAGCAGTTGAAGCAATAAGCCAGTTAGCCAAATCGCTCTGCCTCTGTCCACCAAGCAGTATAAATGGGTACACTCCAGTTAAGTCGATTGGCAGGTCACTTGTGATGGGGCAAGGTGTGGGTGGGTACTCTCAACTGTTCCAACATGCCTGGTGGGAGAGCAGGCAAAATACCCTTGAGTCGAGGTCCTTCCACAAGCAGTTGCCCGAGGAAGCGATTACAGGGCTCCCACTTTCATTACCTTTAACCATTAGCAATAGAACATCAATATTATGAGGCCCACACTGAACCATTGCGATCAGTAACTTTTCACACACGTGGCAATTCAGGCACGACCACCCCCCCCCCCCCCCCAAGGCACAGGGTGCCCTGCGCACGCACGCAACGCTCACTTGAAGAGGCTGATGTTTTCTGTGAGGCCGTTGGCAATGAGCACGGCCACCACGAGCCCGTAGATGGCGATGATACCCGCCATGACGACGGGGATGATGGACTTCATAATGAGCTCCGGCCGCATCACCGACATGGCGGCGATGCCCGTGCCGCTCTTGGCCGTGCCGTACGCAGCGCCCAGCGCTGCAGGAAACACGCGATTCGCGCCGTCAGTCACGACAAGGTTGGGGGGCAGGGGGGGGGGGGGAACAGGCTGACAGAGGCAAAAGCAACCGAATGTAGATAATCGAGAACAAAAAGGATGAAAAACCATGCATTCTGTAACTGTCCAAACTGTGGTTTGACAATCTCCCATAACCCCCCCCCCCCCAGCAGGGTGAATGGTTAGTCAATCAGCAGGTGAGGCATGGTTTAATAAAATGTGGGTACTCCAAACTCTTCCAAGATGTCTGGCCCTTTTGAAGGAGAAGTCCACCGATCTTCTATCCCGCACTTCATGCGGTCAATCGTCATTTGTAGTTATGCGAGACTACATCAACATATAGTGTAGTAATCACAAGGACTGCAGCAAAACCATTTCAAGTGAAGTAGGGTGAATACATAGAAATGTTGAGAAATCCATGTCACACAATCCATCAGTCAACTCTACAAAATAGCCATGTTGCAAGGGTTCACTTTGAACACTCAACTCAACAAAACGGTGGGTCTGAAAGTGATCAACAATCCGAGGTCTTACGTTCTGTTGGGAGCATTCTTAACAGCTACCCCCCCCCGAACCCAACAAGATAAGGAATGAATTGGCCCGCCTGCATCATGTGCAAAATCAGCGGACCGGGGAATGCAGCCGCCCTGCTGGTGCTGCACGCACCCGTCTTTGACTCCATCGAACATTGAACCGTCTGCGTGGGTGTGCGTGCAGATGACATCGCCACGCGGCTGTTGGATATGCCTGCCTGCACAATTCGCACGGCCGCAGGGTGCAAAATTGGCACCACGATGCAGAATTTAACAATGCGACGGAAGACGAAAGGAGGCGCAGGATTAAGCGTCATCCTCAATCCAGTGCGGCAAAAACAACAGTGCCGCTCCCCAAGTGTTTGACTCCACAACATGGAGCCCCGGGTAATTAAGCACACAGAGCGGTGCTCCCCGCTAGATTTACCAGGGTGCTTAATAGCGCCGTGCTGCATTTTTTGCAAGGATCACGTTTTATGGCCGATGCTCATTTCATACAGCAAATCAAAATAAAACAATCACGCGTGGCCTTGGACGATTTTGGCTCCCGAACGACACACTATTGAAAATCTATCCAAGGCTTTTATCTATGCTTCTTGGAAGGATTTTATGCGGAAACGTACGAGATCGTGTGCTTTTAAAAAAACACAGCATTGTTTCTAAGAGCTTTGAAACGACCGAATATTGGATTTCTCCAGGATAAATATAGATTCTGATATGATATGGGTTATTTTAGACCGTCAATTGGCATAGTTGGATATAAAGCTCATTATCCAGGCCAATTCTTATGAAAGAGATGCTACATTTCAAATGGGCGAGGTTCCATGAGTCGATGGGCTGATGCTGCACAGCAATGGAAAGGAAAGCACAGCACGAACTCGAGCTGAAAGATTCATGAAACAGGTAATGTAGGACAAATAAATGTTCTATTCTTGCAGTGGACATCGAGGCTCCATATCCAAGCACTGCAATAACATCAAGCTCCAGGCAAGCAAACCTGGAATTTAGCTACCGTGCTTATGTTGCGGTATGTTGCACGCCAATGGAACATTCATTTATTAACCTTTTTTTCCCCAGGCATTATGTAATGCGCAGTGGAAATTAACCATGGTAATTCCTTGCCAAAATGTCACTAATTACGAGTATTGTTTTAACATAATATTGCATGCCTTGCGCGGGTAATTGACATTTATGCAGTGACATTTAATTGTCCAAGAGACTTTCGTTTTTTTATTAAAGAGTTAACGCTGTAAAGCAATTTTAAAATAAACATTTAAATTTCGTAATTTATACCGAAAGAATGAAAACATTAGCCAAAAAGGTAAACATTGCCAGATTTATAAAAAGCAGGACAACATGTAATTGGCGTGTATGTAGCGAGGGGTCTGGCCTGCAAGCAATACAATCAGCTGTCGGCAATTGGGCCCAGCAGTGCTGGGAACATATCTCCTGTACAAGTACACCAATCGCCTGCCAAGAAAATCATTATTTAGAAACACGTAGAAAAAACACACACTGCCAAGTCAATTACTAATGTAACCGTGGTCCGGAGGCATTGCCTGTAACTTATGGTGCGTCGTAACTCATAACTGCTGAAGAATGGTGCCTCGGCACCAGTGAGGCGTGCAGCGATCAGTCGGACACGCACGCCATTTGCCCGATAACCGAAATGAGCTCCCCTTAACGTAGTCCGCAGAACGCACTGCCAATTAATCACTAACACAATGCAAAAAGTATCACACGCTGGTTAGGTGCTAATTAAGACTTCTACGGCAAAAAACCCAAGGTGGGTGCAGGTGTGAGAAATTGGTGCAAGCAGCCGCAAAGCATGTGTGACCCAAGCTGCCAAATACATTTCACAAAACTGGCCTGGTGGGTGTAAGCTGGCAACTGTCCTTGGACTGGTGGAAAGCTTAATATAGCTTGGGCTTGTGTTACCTTCAGCGTTGCGGTCGACAATACTGCGTCAAATGTTGAAGCAACCTTCGCCTCGACGCGGACCAATGTTACGTGTTCTCATGTCGTTCATTTTTTTTAACAAAGAAAAAGGTCTACGAGACGACTTCATTGCCAGTCTATTACACCCAGGGAAGTCAAATGTCATACAAAAGACTGCAGCACTAATGCCACACCCAGCAATGGATTCCAGGGATTCTTATCTGCTCTACCTCAAAAAAGTCTCAAATGCTGCACACGAACAATGTGACGGTCAATGTATGGACAGGACCATTTGGCTTTCCCCAACAAGATCTAGTATGAATAAAGCATCTAACCAAATCAAACCCGGTCATAAGTGAATATCTGCCTGAACAGCTGCTACAGGGGATACATTGAGCTTACATCGACTAGACAAAATAAAAGGGCACATCATGTTATGCACATTCAAGCAGCAAGAAAGAAAATTAAGTGTAATCTCAAGACAAGCGTTTCACTACATTGGCATTCCAGGTTGCGAGTGGCAAGAGCTCATTCATCAATCGGAAGGCTGATAAAAAACAAAATAATGTTGCCGTAAAAAAATTCAGCTGCCCCATTTAACCAGTCTACTGTGGCAGGTTGTTTTCGTGTCCTTTGACTTCTAGATGCAGAGCTTCCATTTATAATTATTCCCTTGTAAAAATACCACTAGTTATCTTCAATGCAACCATCTTAACTTTTCAATTGGGATAACTAGGCATGTAATTATTACCCTTATGAAGTGACGATTTCTGCAATTGTTGATCATATTAAAAAACATAGCTGGTCGACTTCAGTGGGAGGAGCCTTCGATTGTCACTCATTCGCATGCAGGACGACTCGCAGTGACAAAGGTGGTCGCGTGATTTCATACACTGTTCAGGCACCATTGATTCACTCGTACGGAAGCACTCGTTTGTCAAGAGACACATCGAGCATTTCATCAGGAAGAAACGCTACGAGCCTCCAGTGCATTTTTATTTTCTCTGCAAAACGTACCTGACCAAAAGCGTGTTTAAAATTCCAGTAATAGGTGACCCAGCTGAATGGACTTTGAAAACGTACAATGGACATGACAGTATAAGCAATAATGGCCATGAGACGTGACACGCAGGATATAATCTATGTGCCTCGGTGGATTACAAATGTAAAAGCCAATTTTGAAGAAAAAAACTGTTCCCACCATTTCAAGTTCCCTTTGCACAGCCAACGAAACTAAAACGGAATTTAAATTCGTTAAACTCTATTTAAAAACCATGAAATTTCAAATTGAAATCGCTAAAGCATCAATTACTTTCATCTCGATTTACAATTAGAAAATAATTAAAGGATGAGTTACATCGGCATTGATTGCGCGTTCTCTGTATTTCGGGTCACTGGTGAATAAGTCGAGAGTCACCGCTGCACGTGAAGTTAGGAATCGGGAAATGGCACAGAGCACTTCGTTGGTGCAGACCTCTTCACTCCCAGAGGCATCAACAGTGTACCCCTTACACAAGCCATCCTCTCCTTGGTTTGATCTTCTCAAGTGAAATTAAAATGCAACGCCGAGCATAAACGCCCACGAAACGTCACCGGCCATGAAACCCCGCTTGCAAATTATCCACAGTGGTATCGATTAAATGCCCTTTGAGCAGGAAACTGGAAAAATCCAGACTGTATCGTCACTAGCCACGGCAGATCGCTCGGCAAGGACGCGGGGAAAGCACCAGCAACAACGAGAACAAACCTGAACACCATCTTCGCCAAGTCGGGCTGCAGTGAGCTATATCTGGCTCGAGCGAGTCATGTGTCCTTGTCAACACCCTGTGCACATTAACCCCTATTAAAAAACAAACAAAAAACCAGTCAAGATTCCTGCAACTATGGAAGGTGCATGTAATTGTTGGTTGTGACAATACACAAGGGGGGAAGAGCACTTGTTAATAGTACGGGGCACAATGGCGAGGAGGCTTCTTGATGGGATGAAGGCCACACTGCGTGGAAATGTGCGCATTCCCTTTACAAGCGGATGAAAACAATTCTCCCACAATACACAAGAAGCCCCGAGCATTTTAACATTAAAAAATTAAATAATTAAGTAAATAACCACGGGGGAGGGGGGGCTCACTATAAAGTAAAGGCGTGAATAAACAAGGATCATCAATTCCGTGGTCTGGATGGAGATCTACAATGCAAAAAGACAACGGATGACCTAGCGGAGTTTGCAGCAGACGTTTTCAGCAATGGAGAGCCCATTGAATGTTTTGTTCGCTCCCCTATTGAATAAAGGACACGAACGTTGAAGAGCATAATGGTTCTGCTTTGCAGTTTCGGTCATCTGTGCGGGGGGAAAGCGGCAACAACAATCAAGATGGCTGAGAGGCTGCGTGGCTCTGGGCTTGCCAAGAGATCAGCACTGTCCACTTCTTAAATCTGATGACAAGGACACTTTTTTCTTGACCAACACAGCAGCCGGTTAAAAACGCTTTGGCAAGTGGGGCAATATTCTACATTGCGGTGGGTGCCGTAAGTTTAATGTTACCCAAAGCCTAGGTGCACCATTAACGTTACACATCAGGGAAGTTGGGTCCATTTTGTGCACTGTTCACGGAGGTAGGGGGTTTTATGGCTGTAAAAACGTAAAACTCGAGTCACTCCCACAAGACACTGCACGAGGCGCAAGTTATTCACGTGGGAGACTTAAGAATTACAATCTTGGTATTTTGGACAAGCTGTGCAACAATGAACAAAATCAGCCCATGGGCCAATTTACGTTCATCAACAGAAACGCATTTTAAACACTAAAATCAATAAGAAAAATTGGTTTCACACGTAAACATCCACCTCTCTGCGCACACGGGGTATAAATTAAATGGTAAAAGCAGCATCCTTGGATGCCAACACCGCATCAATATTCATAATCCAAACGCATCCTTGCCAGCGCAACGGTTATGAGATTAGTGACGGCAAGTGGACACTCCTTTTATTTACAACAGCCACCATGACCAGTAGTCACGAGATGGCTTTTTTTTCAAAGTCTCAGACTTTAGAGCTGGGGATTTTTTTTTACCTGCAGCAGGAGAATCACGCCCACGCTCGGTCACCTGATCCTGACTACGTGGCACCAATGTCGCATACAAACGGAAAACAAACTCTTGTGCAGGCCTGCCGCTCCAATTTTATTTTAAATATTTATTATGTTGGACTAACACGCATTGAAAGATGCATCCGTCTCATTTTCTTTACTGCCCAGGCCCACCGCAGTCTCCCCTCACTTACAAATTATCCACTGCGGGTAATTTATTACATAAAAAAATAGGGGGGGGGGGGGTCTGGCCCATGTTGCTGCCAAAGGCCAAAGATAGCATACATTTCCCTTCGGCAATAAAATCCCATTTATTAACATGTAAGAAGAGCCATGGAAGATAGTTTTCAATGTTTTTTTTTAATAGAACAATTTCATAGAGTTCCACTTGAATGGTTTAGTCTAAATTAGCTACACTGGGCAATTGACGGAGATGGGATTCACAATGCTGTAACCTTTCCTTGTGTTGAGGCACGGTCTATCCAGCATAACCGACATCAAAATGTCACCAGACCCAGGTCAGAGGTCATCACACCTCACCAGTAATTTCTGCTGGCATGGCCAATGGCTATTTTCACACCAAGCATAAATCTAGGTTACTGTATCACGTTCGCAAAAATCTTATACATTTCAAACTTTAAACTCGCCTTAAAGGAGGCAGTTATAATTCGGCCGCAACACAAGCTATTTATTTTCAGTCTATGGTCATCCCAGGATCGGGTCAGTTCTCAGGAACAATGGCAGGCATGGTTTGGCTTTCTGGGATAGACATCCAGTGAGATGATCACTATCACACCTACCCCAGAAATGAATGTATATACAATCAATACAAATTTAAGAGAATGCGTTGGCAGTGAACAAGCACTCGCCACGTTTGTCACGACACTGCTTTGTGAAGATGTTGCTGTGTAAATCTTTGGGTCAGTACGGACTGGTGTATACTGGGAGCACAGCACGGTAAAATGGCTTTTTGCTGCCCCATCCCTTGACCCTCTCTCTGCCATCGCAGTGTCACATGATGACTTTGCGTGCCATGGTGGTTACCCATCCAAGCTCCAACGAAGCTCAACCCGGTTAAGCTTCCGTTTCGAGTTGGTCACATGTCGAACTATCACTTGTCTTGTAATGCACCAACACAAGCGGGCTGGGGGTGAGGCGGGCAATGACCCTCATTCAAACGGTAATAGACAGAAACGCATTCTTATTATGTCCACCTTGCCTACGTGACTTTGCCGAAAAAACCAAAGAGTATGGATCTTTGCAGTCACGAAAGCTTCAAATCTAGAATACAAAAACATATTTAGCGTAAAGAACCGTGGCTAGTTTTTATCTTTTAACCTGGCTCTAAACCAGTCACGATAGGGGGGGGGGGGTGAATGATTACTCTGTCACATGGGGCCCTGGCAGTCAGCTGACTGCATCTTCCGCCCCGCGTCTCGCCTCGCCTTTTGTCTGCCAGGCAGCAGAGGTGGGGAGGAGGAGGGGGGAGGGAATTCATCTTGTCCTTCTTTACACAGCAGCCACCACCACTCGAATACTCACAACCCCGGGGTATCTTCTGATCGGGGCTCACACCACATGGGGGGGGGGGGGGGGTATCCCAGTAGTCGATGTCACAGCTCTCAACCATATGATCATCACGTCATAGTCAATCCGCTGATGGATTATGGCCTTCCCCCCCCCCCCCCCCTGGTGAAACGCAATGGTTATTATATTCCACGTACGTGCTATTTTTTTTGCGCGAAATTTTTTTGCTACAGTTTTTTGTTATCAACGCAGATCATCATTTCGTCCAAATGGGGGGGGGGGGGGGGGGGGCTCTCAGCTAGATATTATTAAAGGCTAAGAGGATGGTGGTTGGTTGGTGTTGGTGCCTGTCTGTACATTATGTCTTCCACACACGCACACATTGCTCCTGGGCTCCTACCATCATCATCATCACCACCACGACACGCGTTACACCCAGCGCCACACACGGCTGGCTCTCTCTCTCGCAGTCAATGGCGCCAGATGTTTCACGAACAAATCGCACACCGCAGCAAACCTCCGGCATTGATGATTCTCGCCCGGACAAAACCACAGGTTTGATCATTATCCACCATCAGCCACGGCACCCATCGTCACCGTGACTGTACACATTTTTATCCCTCTTTAGCCCGCATTCGTGCCGCGACGCACCCCAATTGTCCAACGCCTTCAATTTACATTAAAAACGCCGACATGGATCTTCATCGAGATTTGTCCTAATTGTCTTAATCACGGGCGTTTCGTTAATTAAATATTACAATTAACGCGGGTTGAAGGGAGGGAGGGGGGGGGTATCTCCCATCGGCTTAGTGCTACTACCTCTTCCTCCTCCTCACCACCACCATCATCACATTCAGACGTTCGCAAGGTCAGCTCTGCGTGATCCTCAATTACAAACACCAACATCGCACGCGACTTCAACACAAAACAAAATCCACCCTCCCCGACGTTTCATTTGAAACGCCGACGTCGGCTTGTGTCGACTGCACCTTACACCACCCCACCCACCCACACCACCACCCCCTCTCTCCCCATCGTATTTAACACCGTGGACTCGAGGAGACATTTGTTTTAAAATTGCCAAGACGTCTTTAAATCGGTCACGGAGAGAGCGAAGCCCTCCCACCCCCGTCCACACCGCCAGAGAGAGAGAAGATGGCGCCCCCCCCGGCTGCCGCATCCGCCACAAGGTGACGAGGGGAGGAGGAGGATGATGATGGTGGTGGTGGTGAGGGAGGGGAACCGCGGGGAGGAGGAGGATGATGATGATGGTGGTGAGGGAGGGGAACCGCGGTGAGGAGGAGGATGATGATGATGGTGGTGAGGGAGGGGAACCGCGGGGAGGAGGAGGATGATGATGATGGTGGTGGTGGTGAGGGAGGGGAACCGCGGGGAGGAGGAGGAGGACGGCTTCGAAATCTCCACCGCAGACACGCGCCACCACCACCACATCCCATTGGCCGCACGAGCAAAGCCCCCCACCACCACCACCACCTTCCCCATCGTGATCGCCGGGCTAACAACAACGACGACGACGCCGCATCAACGTTAGCGAATGTAAAATGACCGATTTCCCCTCCTCCCTCTCTCTCCTCTCACCGCTGAACACCATGGCGGCGGAGGCGCCCATGACGCCGAAGAACGGCGAGTATTCTGGTGAGGACGACATCTTGCTTGTCCTTGTTGTTTCTGCGTCGAGGTTGACGGTGTGGCGTGTGGTATGTGGCGTGTGTGAGCGAGTGAGAGCTTTGATAGTCGAGCCGCCCCACGAGCCTCGCTTTAGTCCGACTTGAGGTGGGTGGTGCTGGTTGTGTGTGGGGGGGGCAGCTCTGGAAGTGAGAGGGGCGTCACGATGCGCTCGCTCTTATATATGTGGAGCGGCGGTCATGTGACGAGTGACGTCACGGACCGTACCATTCTCGTTTACCCCCCCCCTCGCCCGCCTTCCAACAGCCAATCAAAACTCTCCTCCCCCCCCCCCAACATCGCAGAGTTGGACTCTTCCTTCTTTCATGCGGCTTGGGATCAATTTCAATGCAGAGAGCTCCGACTGCAATTTCACATTCAGATGGTCAGACCGAGGCAGACAGGCGGGCGACCGAGGCAGGGAGTAGCAGCGGAGTGGCCTGTAACCGGCTGTGCTATCTCTCTGTCCCTCTCTCTCGTTCGCATTTTGGATTTTTGCACACAGCGTTGGTGTACGGTGTTTTTTCTGCAATATTTTGCTGTCTTTTCTTGGATTTTCTGTTTGCACAAAGTCACATATTCACTTTAAGATGTTTTCTTGTTCATGTTTTTTGTTTGTTGCGGTTGCACCCGATTCAAGAGCCGAATGGCTCACAGGGCTATACCTAATAAATGAACTTGAATTTGTGGTTCGCGCTCTCATTACGTTGTGCGGTCGGTCTGTTCTGGGTGACCGCAGTTTGCATTTTTCTTCCGTCCATTTGGCATCAGATTCAGATATCAGCACCTGCTGCTGCTGCCGTGGGCGGGTGCGGTTTGAGGGTGGCCCCAGGTTCCGGATCAAGGCACCGAGGGCTTTAGGGGCTGCAAGCCCAGGGGCCTGCGTCAGCTGGAGGGCCTCCAGAAATTTCAGTGAAAAGTTATTTAACTTGTGAATGCTGAATTTTTGTTGTTGTTAGCCTTGTTAAAAAAAAATTTCTTTAACTTTTTTTCCTTTTGAAAATATTACTGGGGGCCTCACAGTACCTGTGGCCCTGGGTGGCCCATGAGCTTCGTGGAAGATCTTGCGCGTTGGATCAAACCCAAAGAGGTGGTTACGGTTGGTGAATCGTTCATTGGCAAACCGGTAACCGATTTCACAAGTCAAACTGGTAACCGTTTTAAGCATCTATTTCGATTAACCGTTTTCAGAATCAATTACCGGGGTTCCGAAATTGGTTCAGCATCGTAATCAATGGACGCGTACAAACGGAACGGCGGGCTAAGTTACCGCGTGGTTCATTATTTTGCCCTCCACTTAAAATTGAACGGTGCAACAATGGATTCTTTTGCTCACGCAACTGGTTGCGGAAGGGCCTCCGTTAAAGGTGGGCTCTCTAGATGGTATTTGGCCTACTCTTCCACGTTGATCAGGCATCGACTGTCGTGTGCGCATTTATTCTGCTGGGTGGCGGGAAGGGGTTAAATGCTGTGCGATCGTCCCATTACTTGCAACTACCACGCCGGGAAATGGAATCGAACCGACGACGACCTCTGGATTGCAAGCCCAGCGTGAAAACCCCGTAGCCCACTATGCGCCACCGCTCCGCTCAGTACACGAGTAATGTATGCTGTTGTAAATCTGTAATGGTGTGTAGGACTGTACTTTAGCATTGGCGGATTCAGCCTATCATTTATTGGCAGTAGATGTTAGTGCCATTTGTAGGTTAAAGGATGGCAGCCCATCTACGATACGCGCTCGGGCAAAGCTCATCACACGCGGTGCCATTCATTACGCGCATTTCCTGTACGCAACATATGCTTTGCTTGCAATAAACATGTTTAATGAATAAACGAATGGGTCAAATTGTACACCTATTACAATGTACATGTACCTGTGCAGCCCCTTTTGTCATAATCAGAATCTTTATTTATCCTGAAGAATCCCGATGAGCTATGAAGTTTTTTTTTTTACAGATGTCCATGTTTGACACAGTGGCGAGTGGTATCTGAAACCGCTTCTGGGTTCTGCTTCACCAGGGTGGTGTAGTATGGACAAATAACTCCCAAAACTGACACAGTGTGGGTGGCCTTTATCCAGAAGTTGATCGTCAAAGGGTGGTAAATAGATTATGCAGCATTCCATTAAACAAATGACACTTTTAAACACATTCCTGCGGTGGGAGCTGGTAGGAACGTTGGGTTGCTCGGTCAATGGCCAGGGTCAACGGCGGCGTGGTGTATTTCGCAAATATGCCCGACTGTGAGGGCGGGCACAAGCCGGCGTGAGTAGGTTAAACGTTGAGTTTTATAAGGGCACCACGGGGTGACCAGACCCTCCCCATCCAGCCCCACCCCCCACCCAGCCCCACCCTCCCCACCCAGCCCCTCCCTGCACGACAGACGGACACAATAATCCCCTGTTGGCTGGTGTAACCAGGAGGTTCCTACCAGTATAAAATGTGTAAAGCAATGATGCTTGAAGTCTGTATTAACTGGCTTTGAAAGATGTAATTGGGCTATGCTGGGAATGTTCTTAGAAGAGAGCAATAACCTTGGAAAAGATAATCACGCTAGAAAAGTGTGATGGAAAGACGTGCTGGGGAAGGCTACACAAATTGGAAGACATCATTAGAGATACGATGCCACCGGATGTAGCACTTGAAAAAATGGAGCAAGACTGGAGGAAGTGGGAGGGTTTCCCAATCCGACCGGGCAGGGATTTGCTAAATAAATTAATCGTATTATTCTCAGCCAAAGGGTCCCATTATTACACAATTTCCTGTTGACTGGAAGACCCGGTCTCGTCGTCTCCCGGGACCCGTGGGGTCAACTCTTCCCACAGGCACGCGGAGACCGTCATGTGCCACGCTTGTGACGCCACTCTCAGTCGGTAAATAATAGTTAACGAGAAGAGGAGCCAGATGGAACCGCCGGTGACCCGACCATTTCTTGTTGTTTCTTATGAGTTGACATTTCGCTTGGTTCGATTAACGACACTGAATAGAGGATCCGATGGTGCTTGTTCATTAAATCTTACCGTGCCCGTACGTATTGATATGGGTGGAGCAGCGGTTAGCGGACCGCACTGTGAACCAGACTATCTGAGTTTGAATCAGGGCAACAGCTAATATCAGTTGTGAGTGTTGTCTCAAGCGGTCCCAGTTGTCCCCTTCACCAACCCGCACTGACCAGCATGGTGAAGTATGGTCAAATACCACGACCGACGAAACAGTGTGCGGAGGCAGTTACACATTGAGTCCACTTTTAGTTAACAAATAAATACACATTTTTTTGTCTTTCTCAGCGTACTGCAGTCTCTAATGAGGTCAAATCTGAGTCTGTGTCTAAATTCAACTGTCTCTTCATTGGCAGTGGTGCTTTGGTCATTGGTGGAGAATCATGGTCATCGTCATGCTTGATGGTTTTCGTCCACTCGTGGTGATCTTGTGCTAAAAAAATATCTTTAAAAAAAACATAACGCTTTAAAGCTTTCGTGACTGCAGGGATTCATCTTCTTGGTTCTTTCGGTAAAGTCACGTAGAAGGGCTGCTTGCGTTGTAGCCGAAACGTCGTGAGAATTATTGCATAATGTTTTATTTTTATTGTTTTATTATTTCCCTTCTACGTGACTTTACCGAAAGAACCAAGAAGAAAAAGAACATAACGCGTTGATTAACGAACATTTACATCTCTAAGTTTCGTTCACAACAATTAGCACCGTGGCAGAGACAACTCGGTGTGTCACCCGGGACCAGCGAGACGCCAACGAGTCACAAATGAGATCACAGGGTCGCTGGTGTCACCGTGCGCCAACAGTTTTAGAGGCGACAGAGGGGAGGGAAAGAGGCCTTTACAACTTGGGGGGGTGGGCGGGGTGACATGCCGAGCTTATCAGGTCGACGCACGCTCAGTCCTCCCGGGTGAGTGAGGTGGGTCTCGTCACTACCATCACACTCGTGTGCGGAAGAGCCCAGTGAAATCTACTCTGGGTACACGCTTACCAGACGCAGGCAGATCTCGCCAGTACACAGCACCTGCCCTGGTGCATAACTGTTACAAGGGGCTGATTAGAGCAATGGGATTCCAAATCAGCATGCAAGATCGATCGAACAACGTTTTGTGAACAACATTGAGTACAACAAAAAAACTGGAAAAACTAGAAATTTACAAGCGTAACAATTCTGGCTTCTGAGCCAAGAATGCGATTTTAATAGTGGACTGGCTGACAGTGACGTCAAATCTAACACGAGTACCAGCTAGTTCGACTCAATCTTAAGGGTGTACCTGTGGCAGTGCGTGTTAATCAGTACTGGGAAGACAAAGGCGGTCAAGCATGATGCTGACCTCACTGTCATTTCATTATGGCCCTACGTGCACTTGCCACTACTCTACAGTGTATGCAGGCTGATAGTAAGGTTTTTGGATTTTTTCTTTTTAGCACAGTGGACTAATAGATAACAAACATCCTTTGTGTATAAAACTCACGTAATATACACTGGTACGCGTGCTAAATTATAGCCAAACAACACCCACGACCGACAGTGTGGAGAGACCTTCACCCAGTGGTGGATTGGCAAAGTGCTGTAAATGAACAATTGATTTCACACGAAACATTATGGTGCTGTAATACTGCAACTGTATAGCGCCAATCTGAAAGTTCAAAAGCGTAATTTATTTGATGAAATGCAACGCACCGGAACCCGTAAAGAGGCCCCGTGGAAACTGGCTCCCACTGGCAGTGTCCCCATCCCAGCCCAGCTGACCCGCACAAACCAGTCGGGCCTTATGGTGGTCCTCACAACACGACGCCAAAAAACCAGCCATTTCACACGCACATAGCCTCTCTCCCCTCCCTCCCTCCTCCACTTCCCATCGACCAATCCACCCTGTTGGCCCTCACCACACACACACACCGCACTGCTGCGTACCGGTGGCAGCTGGCCGCCTTTGCTGGTTTTACTAGAGGTATCGGGTGGGACGGGGTGGGGGTAAGTCATTGGAATGATGTCGTGGAGTCTTCGAACTGCCACTGGCCTGCCTAAACACAACTTCACGCCGTCCACTTGTGCAATGCGTCCGGTTTGAGTATGTAGCTGGCTCACGGCTACTGCGAGTCCATGCGAATATCAGATTTAAAAAAGTGTTGTTCATATTTGGGCAGTA